TTAACGGTTTTCAAATAAGCATGTAAGCGAAAATCGTAAAGAAACGATACTCTAGACGCTTAATTTTACGACGGTAAATATGGACCTCAACACTATTATGAGCCCGTAAAGTGAGGTAAAGTAAAGTTTACTAAAAGTGTATTATGGATGATAATTTGATTTATTATTAAAACTAATTAATTAAATTATCTAAGACTTAGAATATTGTTAAGGAAGTTAATTAATTACTAAGATTAATTAACTAACTTATGTATACTTAGTATATGAATAAAATGGTTAATTAATTACCAAAATTAGTTAACTAAATTATTAGACTTATTATAAGGATAAGATAATTAATGAATTATCAATTTAGCACAAATTTGTAATGGCAATTAAGGAAAATAAGATTTTGAGGATTTAATAAATTGATCCTTATAGTAAATTATCCTTCATTAAAGGAAAGGAATACATACCTTAAGTAAAGGGTTAGATTTTCTTCATAAGTTGCTAAAATAGAATAGCAAATGCCAGATAATTTCACACTCTCAATGGGTGTTCATTTTCAGAAGTAAGCAAGTAAGAGAATAGGCTGTTTGGCGAAGAGTGGATTCCAGCTCTGTAAATCAGGTAAGTAGGAATCTCGCCTACAGTATGAATAGATTTTTAAAGAAAAAGTTACACATGTTATATATGCATGTTTATGCTTTAAGTATTGTATGCGATGCTATGTCATGCTGCATACACATAAACATCGCACATGAATTATATGTGTTTGAGTTAATTTAATATTATGTATACTATGCTAGATCATACTGCATACACTTAAGCAGTGCACATGAAGTATATGTATTTGAGTACATTCTATGTTATAGTATGCTTTGCTATGTCATATTGCATACACCTTAATAAGTCAAGAGGAACTTATAAGAATAATTATCAGTTGAGTGCCGTACCAGCCTCCACAAGGGAGGTAACTCATGCTCCACAAGGGAGAAACAGAAAATAACAATAATGTCCTCCGACTCAAGGGAGGCATTCCAGTTATAATCACGGTGTCGTGGGGGACCTTGCAAACCCTCACGTTCCGATGATTGCGCGCAAGTGGTACGCGAGCACTCGGGCCCATCAGTAGGAAATATAAGATAAGATAATAAGACTATGATAAGACGTCATAATTAAGCATAATCAGCTCATGCATATTTATTCATGTGTACTTACAGTTATTTTGTGAGATATAGTTCCTACTTGCTGAGCGAAAGCTCAATCAGATATGTTCATGCTGTAGGTAAGAAACCTATCAGCAATTCTTGAAGGGCAATGGCAAGCGGCGGCCGAATGGTGGAGATGGGAATGGATACCGCTCACGCAGTTATCTTCCGCAGTAAGTTTAAGAAAAATCATGTATATGTATATATGATTTAAAGGTTTCAAGCATGTATGTTTAAAAAGTATAGGTACATATGTATGTTAAGGAAACCGAGGTTGTAGCTAACAACCCTCATTTTGAGTATTTAAGTTTTAGAACGTTGCAACAGAGCATGCAACAAATAAATAAATTTTAAACATGACGATTTAAATGATTGATTTTAAAAGGGCTTTAAGATGTACTTGAATTTAAGATTTCTCACGAAATCCGTTTTAAAGTCAAAATTAAATGGCCCGATTGAATTGGCTAGTTTTAGAAAGACTTTTTAAGAGCATTTGAAATAAGAGTTCAAATGCTGCTCTGTTTGAAAGATATTTTTAGAACGTTTTATCTTAACTGAAATTAAGAAAAGCTTTAAGAAATTTAGTGATTCACTTATTTGAAATTATTGTTACAAATTATGAGAGTATTCTTTCTTATATATAAAAAAAAAAAAATGTTCCGCAAATTTTAAGAAACCCCAGTAAGTACAAGTTAAAGTTTAAGTTACAGTGGCGGCCTCATAGGAGGGTCGTCACAACATAAACATGTTCGGCCAGTCACTAAAATCATTAAAAATGTCAAGCTCACATGACTTGTGAATAAAAATAGTATACTAGACAAATAACATGGTTAAGATGAATTTAAATAAATTCAACCATTACATACTTTATTAGCCAATAAGCTCGTTGGATGGAAAACATTTTGGCCCTGTTCATTTAACCGATTCGAGTTTTGCTCTCAGAAATAATCACATTTAACTTTTTTACTATAGTAAAAAGCTCTCACATAAAATCACATCTCAACTCGAATTAAAAACTCGAATCAGCGAACTAAACGGGCATTTTATTCTTATATTTTCTTGGTTTTCTAATTTTAAATTAATTTAGGTGTAGCGTGCTTATAAAATATCATTCATCATTCATTAACTAAGCATGTGAGTGCCACGTGATAGATTCCCTTGAATTCTTAACAATTTTTATGAATAGAAAGCCAAACATGAGATAAGGAGTATAGTTTCACCAAGAATTTTTAACATTTTAGGCCTCATTCGCTTCGCGGATTTGAGTTTTTAATTTAAGTTGAGATGTGATATTTTATGAAAACTTTTAATTATAGTAGAAAAAATTAGATATGACATTTTCTGAGAACTTTTAACTGTAAAAATTTAAAACAAAAAACTCGAATCGGTAAAATAAACGGTATTGAGAGTCAAAACCAACGATCAAAAGTGAAAATTATAATTATAAAAAAAAAAGTGAAAATTATCCCTGATGGCTAATTCTGAAGATCATCTTGGTAAATGGGCTGTGGGCCTTAAGATGGTGGCCCAGATGAGACCCGTTTAGGGCTCAGAATCTCAGGCCCACCCAAATGTATCACTGCAGAGTGGGGGAAAAAAAACGAAGATCGCGCGTTGAATCGCCCTACTCTTTTCACTTCTAAGTTCTATCTCACACACTTGAAAAAAAAAAAAATAATAATAATAAAAAAACTCTATTCATACGTTTCCTTTTACCACCAAAATTACTTAAAGCGAACCTTCTCTCTTATCCCAGAAGACAACAACACAACTTTCAGTTCAGTTCCAGAACTCTCTGCAAACGGCGCCGTCTTCGATCCTCAGGTGCGTCCCGAAAACCGCAGTTCTTTCCTCGTTTTGTTTCCGTCTTTTTGCAGTTTAGGGCTTTCTTTAGGGTTCATTGTTCGAAATCCTAGGTTTTCCCTTTGCTAGGGTTTTGGTTTATTCCCCGTGCTTAATCGCGCAACAATGTTCTTTTAGCCTCTATCTCAAATCTCAAATCTCAAATCTTTGTTTTTTTTTTCATTGTCGTTTCTGAATTTGAATGTTTCTCTTTTCCTTTGGCAATTTGGCAAGCAATTGTTGTAGCTATGCCTATGTGTATAAAATATGTATATATATATGTATATGTATATGCGCAATATTATTACACTTGCATGCATACGGTGCTTCACTTTGCGAACAACGGAACAAGTACTAATAGTTGTTGATTGTTTTCGTATATGTTTCTTTAAAATCCTTTATTTATTTATTTCTAATTTTGGAGATTCAAGAACAACTATGATAAAGTCATGAAATGGGTTTAAGAGGTTGTTATGTCTTTCTGGGAATTGTTGTCTCTGTCAAAAGTGTACAAATAAGTGTTGTTTGTGTTATTGCAGTTTGTACAATATCAAGAATAAATCATTGTATGTGGAGTATGGGGGACAGCGAAACAGTTGTTGCTCAAAGTCAAACAGCTTCCATGGTGGGATACGAGCCAGTGGGCTACGCATCTGCTGGCTATGCTGATGGGAGCTCTAATGTCGTTTCCGAGGCCACTGGTGAAATTTCTAACTCTGCATCTCCTGCAGATGCAACTTCTCTTGCCCCTGATTTTTCTAATGTAGGTGATGGAATTGCAGATAGCTCTCTAGCGCAAGAATCTCATGTCGGTACTGGAAATGAAGCCGTGGAGTCGTCCCAGACTGCCGGTTATGATTCTTCTGCGAATGGCCCTGCTGTTGTGGGATCTGTAGAGAATGGGAGTGTTTCGGAAAATGCTGGTGGGGCTGTTGATGAGCAGCAATACGTGGATGGTTCTGGTATGTCATCTTGGGCATGTTGCGTTGCAATTTTTTCTTTATAAGTGAGATTGCTGTTGTCTTTGTATTCATTTATTTTTTCCAGCCTTTTGACAACTTAGCCCATGAACGCATGGAATTGATATGTAAAAATTTTGTCTGGGAGGCTCTTTTTTTCCTTTTAAATTCGAGGTCTCGCGCTATCTCTCCCTCTGTTTGTTATATGTTTTGCTTTTTACGGTTTCTTATCCATTTGGAGCTGGTAAATTAACACTCTTTTTTCCCTTTTGTTATCTACGTCTCTTTGTATTTCCAGTGATGTCTACCGAAGAAGAAAGGCTGTGGAACATTGTGAAGGCAAATTCTTTAGATTTTAACACCTGGACGGCTTTGATTGAAGAGACAGAGAAGGTTGCAGAGGTATGTTATGCTGAAGTCTTGTAAAAAGATGGCTACTTGATCTAGCTTTCTGAATTTTTCTGATTCTTTCTATTATTTTCACAACTTTGGTTAATACTGTGTAATTTTTTTTATAGGTATCTATTTCCTTGAACTAATCTATTTGCAAATATCTCTTCTGCAGAATAACATACTGAAGATCAGAAAAGTTTATGATGCTTTTTTAGCAGAGTTTCCTTTATGTTATGGATACTGGAAAAAGTATGCAGATCACGAGGCTCATTTGGGCTCCATTGATAAAGTTGTTGAGGTTTATGAGCGAGCAGTTCAGGGGGTTACCTATTCAGTTGACATTTGGTTGCATTACTGCATATTTGCCATAAGCACATATGGAGATCCAGAGACCGTTAGAAGGTAATAGCTGTTCATAAACTTATCATTGTTGCTGGTCTTGCTTTGGGAATTGAGGATCACATGATGTTTTCAGTGGCAAGCAACTGGTGTTTTTCTTTGGTCTTTTCCTCACTAATAGATATTTTTGTTTCTTTCTAACCGATTTGGGTATCCCTGCAACAGTGGTTCCTCACATGTAAGGCGGAAAGATTTCATGGAATTGTACTTTAGAATAGTTTTTTTCTTGTTGGTGCAACCTCTTCTCTATTGCATACCTGACTGAATTTTTCTTAGAATTAAGATTTTCTTTTTGGTGGGTGGTGGGGATCGGGTAACCGATCTACCTTTTTTGTCTCCCCTTTTCTTTGGTTGTCTGAGTCATAGTAATGTAGTCATCAATGCATTATGGCTGTTTTTACATTGACTCTGAGGGTGCATCTTAATGCAAATTGCTGCTGGGAAGATCTCGTCCAGTTAAGGGCTAAGATGGCCTCTATCTCTGCTCCATTTCTCGGACATAGTATGGTTTTTTTTCAGGAAGGTAATGCAGCATTTGGAAGTGTCATGTGTGGTTAAGAGTGAATTGTTCCTTCAACATTACTGCCGCTCTCGCCCATTTATGGATTTGTTTTGTATCAACTGATTGATACTTGTTCCATGACTGTCCTTCGCAATTTTTCATGGTCTTTCAGGTTCTTTGAGCGAGGATTAGCTTATGTGGGAACTGATTACTTGTCCTTCCCCCTTTGGGACAAGTATATTGAATATGAATATATGCAGCAGGAGTGGAGTCGCCTTGCCATGATTTATACAAGGATATTAGAAAATCCAAATCAACAACTGGACCGCTATTTCAACAGGTTATTACTTCATCATGCGTCTATGCGTTTTGTATGGCATTTGATCTTACTTACTGTCAAGTTTTTGAACTTCCCACTGGTGTGTTCTTGTTTTTGAGAGTTTCTGTTAATTAATCCTATATGTTTAGTAAGGCATCTTTTGTTATCCTTTGCTTAGTTCTTGACATTTATTATCATTACTATTATTGGTGCTGATGGCGATGATTACAGCTTTAAGGAACTAGCTGGAAACCGGCCTCTTTCAGAATTAAGAACTGCCGAAGAAGCTGCTGCTGTAACAGGTGCATCTTCAGAAGCTGCTCCTGCAACAGTTGCATCTTCAGAAGCCGCTGACCAAGTAAATGGGGAAGAGGTTCATACTGAGGCTACAGATCAATCAAATAAACCTGTAAGTGCTGGCTTAACAGAAGCAGAGGAGTTGGAGAAGTATATCGCCATTAGAGAAGAGATGTATAAGAAAGCTAAAGAGTTCGATTCTAAGATCATTGGTTTTGAAACAGCTATCAGGAGGCCTTACTTTCATGTGCGGCCCCTCAATGTTGCAGAACTTGAAAATTGGCATAACTACCTGGATTTTATAGAGAGAGAAGGAGATCTTAACAAGGTATTTGACTTGTGTGTTTTATATGCTTGATTATCTTTGTATTTTTGTTATATGTTGACTTACGTAAACAATATTGCTGTTCATATGCTTTATTGGCTAAACCGTTGGATGAAGCAACTTTTTAAACGGGAAATTGAACTGAGACTAAAGCATGGGCCTTCAATTTGGTTACTTTGAGGCTAAGTATTTCAAACCCTTATTTGTCTTGATGGACATTCTAGGTTCATGATGTGTTTGTTCAGTAATTTTATTCTTTTTAAAGTTCCAATGTTATGATGCAGGTATCTTATGTTCCTAACCATCTATCTGTCACGCAAGGAGGGTCCCTCCTTTCCTATTTGAGGGGCCTCTTTGTTCCACTATTGGAGTACTTGTGCATATCTCCCATGTTTTTCCCCTTTTTTTGTTGTGGATTAATGAAGAATGAATAGAACGACTTCATAGCTCTGTTTTTGGTGAATCAGGTGGTCAAGTTGTATGAAAGATGCCTAATAGCATGTGCAAATTATCCTGAATACTGGGTTCGATATGTTTTGAGCATGGAAGCCAGTGGAAGTTTGGATCTTGCCAATAATGCGCTTGCTCGTGCAACCCAATTGTTTGTTAAGGTAGGTTTCTAGATCTGTGATACTTAACCCATGTACTTAAAGTTGTATGGGCCTTGGAATTAATTAACAAATATGTACTCGGAGATGACAATACTAAAAAAATGCTATATATATATTTATTTGTCTCATATGCTATGCCACTTATACATGGTTTGATTGAAAAGTGAAATACTTCGAAAATGACGACAATAAAATGCGATATTGTTTTGTCTCATATGTTAGGCTACTTATACATGGTCTGATTGAAAAGTGAAATTGAAAAATAAATAAACCAAATGGGCTAGCCGAGTTTGAAACTTAGACTAACTAACGGATAACAAACTCTTGGTCTGATTGTTCTTGAGACAAATCTCACAATTTATGAGTATTTCACAAATTATTCTTGGGAACATGTTCTCTTGTGCAGACAAGAGAGTATTATGCATGATTTTGAGAGTGAAGAGATGTTACTTTTTCCTGTAGTTGTCCTCTGATCTTGTCTTCACATGCCTTCTATGCATCTAAATCTTAACAGAGACAGCCAGAGATTCACCTTTTTGCTGCTCGGTTCAAAGAACAAAGTGGGGATATACTAGGTGCTCGTGCTGCCTATCAACTCGTACATTCTGAAATTTCACCAGGTCTGCTAGAAGCAATCATAAAGCACGCAAACATGGAACATCGGCTGGGAAGATGGTGTGCTTAAGTTGGTTGATGCTTAGCAGATTCTCCATTTATATTGCACGTGTAACTTGTTTGTTCCTTTCACTTGTCAGGGTAATCTGGAAGATGCGTTTTCTTCATACGAACAGGCCATTGCCATTGAAAAAGGAAAAGAACATTCACAGACATTGCCTATGCTATTTGCTCAATATTCACGGTTTGCCTACTTGGTAGGTGGATGAATTTTTATGGTTAATTGTTATTATCTATTTCATTATTAGTATGTCATAGTATTTTGCTTCCCAGCGTGCCTTATGGTTCCCCTATGCTATTAAGTTCTATACCTCCTTTTCCTTTTTATACCTTTTTGCTATTTTAGAATAACTTTTTTAAACTACTGAACCTCTTTCTACCCACAAAAAGACATCTATTTTCTTTATTGATTTATTTATTTTTGGAATGTTTTAAGGAGTGACTACTAAGTTAGCTGCTCCATATTTGTAATGCTGGTTTTTCGGAGGGATATAGCTAGGCTGGTTTAATTTCTTTTACATCTAACATAACACGTGTCTCGTGTTTTTTCTTTGTGTACACTGTGTTTAACTTGTAACCGTCTTCCTAATTATTAAATATTAATAATTTATTGGGACGAAAAAATTTTAAAGATGATGTCTTATTAGAATTATCAGAATTTGGTTTGTGTTCATCAATGTGCTTTGCGTGCTTGCACTCAGTATGTGAAGATGAATTATGCTGGATTTGGGAGTTTGTTTTGTCTAATGATGTGGTTGTTGAATCTTTGACTTGGATCCAGGTAGCTGGGAATGCTGAAAAAGCTAGGGAGATATTAGTTGAAGCACTAGAACATGTTCAATCGTCAAAACCACTTCTTGAGGTGCTTTTTCTCTCCACTTCTCCCTCTATTTTGTTTCAGCAATTTACATACGTTGTGGTACTGAATGTGGTCTCTCTCTCTCTCTCTCTCTCTCTCTCATAATTATAATGTAATCCGTGGTACGTGCAGGCACTTATTCATTTTGAGTCAACACAGTCCGGACCAAAGCAGATTGACTACCTTGATTCATTGGTCCAGAAGTTCATAGAGCCTAACTCAGAGAACCCCAATGTTGCTAGTGTTGCTGAGAGAGAGGAGCTATCTAGCATCTTTCTGGAGGTACATTTCTAGTAAATAAGCTAATTACTGCGCGTGGAGCTTGTATGGCATAGTAGTTTAAGCAGCCTCTCTTTTACCCTCCCATGCATTTGGCATGTTTTGGGAAGTTTATAACATCTCTATATAATAACTACCATTGTTGTCATTGTTGTGTCATTTTCTTCGTCTCTCTTTATTGCGTGGTGCTTTCTTTTCCCCTTCAACTGTTTTTGGGGGATGGGGGATGGTGATCATTTTTGGGGAGATTAGCCTTTCCAAATATTTCATTTGCTTCTTAGTCTGATATGTCTAGAAATGCTTTTGCAGTTCTTAAATCTCTTTGGAGATGCACAGTCTATCAAGAAGGCTGAGGATCGACATGCCAAGCTCTTCCTACCCCATAGGAGCACATCAGAATTGAAAAAGCGCCACGCTGAGGATTTTCTAGCATCGGATAAAACAAAATTAGCCAAATCTTACTCGGGTGTTCCTTCACCTGTTCAGTCCTTGATGGGAACATATCCAAATACACAGAACCAGTGGGCTGCTGGTTATGGTGCTCAGCCTCAAGCCTGGCCGCCAGCCATGCAAGCTCAGGGACAGCAGTGGGCACCTGGTTATACCCAACAGGTAGATTGCCCGCAACTGCGATCCCTCATTTTTCTCTTTTCATGCATTCTTTTACCTGACATTATAAAAGAAAAAAAAAAGAATTACAGGTGTGATTTGTCACATTTGTGACAAGCTTGTCAAGTTCGAGAAATTAATCCATAATTACGGTTGCTGGTTACTGAAATATGTGATATTCTTGCTTTAATCTTCTTCCTGTATCAGGCTGCATATGGGGCATACGGTGGTTATGGTAGCAACTACACTAATCTACAAGTGCCTGCTTCTGCGCCGCAGAGTGCTGCTTATGCTGCTGCTGCTGCTGCTTATCCTCCTACATATCCTGCCCAGGTACCTTATAAACTAATGCAAAAAAGCAATTTTATGTTTTACATTCTCAACTGAGGTTTTCTTCTCAGTTTTTAACTATCAAGTTACACAAGTTAGATTTTGTTCGAGCATAAAATGAACTGTTTTAAATTCCCATTTTAAAGTTAAATTGGTCAAATACTAGAATTAAATAATTAAAAAAATAGATCAATAAAAATAAGGATTGTTATTGAAAGCTTTACGTTAAAATTATAATTTTTTAGAGTGTTTATTCAGCAATCCCTTCATTGTATTGGTTTCGGTTTTTCTTTCTTGAAGCTAATACTACACACTACTATTTTCAGCAGAGCTACCCTCCGCAGAGCTATGCCCAGCCGACCGCAACAGCAGCAGCGGCTGCAGCTCAGCAACCTGCTTCAGCTACGCAGGCCTATTATGGCAGTTACTATTGAGATGGCGAAATAACTAGGGCAATATGTTGCCACTTGGTAGTCCTTTTTAAAATTTTTCCCCTTTTGGTCCTCGGCTATTTATAGGACGTTGAGTTCTTCATACCTTTTTTTTTTTTTTTTTGGGGTGAACATTTGCATGTAGCTAACGAAGATCTTAGGACAGTAAACAGAAATATGGGTTAGTGAATCACTTTAGGTGACCTTGGTCATTGTATTTTAGTTACTATCAAGCTTTAGTTTTCACATATCAACTGTTTTGGAGATAATTTTGTCTCTCTTCACGTAGCTAGAAATTCAGATAAAGACCATCAATTAGTTAAAGAAAGAAAAAAAGCTTTCTAGAATTTTTTTTTTTTTTTAATGAAAACGTGGATATCATCAGCCCTTCCTAACTCTGACTTTAGATGTCCGGGCATAGTTAATTTAATATGGCATTACAGTTAAACCAAAGTCGTGAAGCTTCGTTTTCTAACAGGGAAAAAAAAAACGACATGATTTTCATAGAAGGGGGAAAACGAAAATAACCTTATTTTCTCTTATCAATAAAAAAGACAAACAAGTGTGTAAGAGTTAAAATCTAGTTGCCATTTGTGGTACAAAATCAGTCTCAGTTATGTGTTTATTCCCACCTTTGGGAAGGCCTAGAATCGGTTCCAAGCTTAAGTGGAAGAGACTGATCGGCACGTCATACTACCCTGTATGCGCGCTCACTTTAACCAAAATTGGACGTCATAAGCCACTGATCAAATCTTTAATCTCGACCGTCCACGTCGTACCATCGTGATTATTACGCAGTGATTCTCTTTTCGTTGTTTTCGATGGGATCGTTTCCAAAAAGCCAACTAGCCAAGATCTATGGGGTGCCGTTGACTCAGAACTTCCCGTCGTAATCCCTATCAACGGCTGGGATCAAGGAATTCTCTAGACCAGTCCCTACTTAATCAGACGATTGTTGTTTCGCGTGGCAATCCCCAGCAGAAGCCATATATAAAATCCGCGAATCAGAAGCGTCGCTTATAAAGAACCCTGGGGAGTAGACAAAAGGCAAAGCGCACGCAGTCTCTCTCTCCTCTCTCTCTTCGTAGATCTATATTCCATTTCCGTTTTTGAGATTTTTCTGGTTCCAAATCCATAGCTTTTGAGAAGTTTTCTTGGAGCAGATTTTTTGTTTTTTTGTGTGTTTTTTGTTCGAGTCGTTTGAAAAGGGATAAGGAACAAAAAAGTCAAGAGAGATATCCATTCCTATCCTAAACCCAAGGGTTTAGGAGTCGGATACTTTGGGTCGTGTTTGTTTGGATCTGGTTCTGGTTGCTAGGGTTTTGGAGGATTCTGTCCTATCACTGCATGCCTTTCTACTGAGTGAACGATAGATTACAGTAAAAGGCGGCGATGGCTTCTTCTTATCCTAGCGCTGTTCAGGTTTTGGATTTGATCATGAACTTCCATGGTTTTTCGTATTCATTTGGATTTTAATGGATTTGTGTTTCTGGTTTTTGTTCTTGTTTTTTTTTTTTTTTTTTTTTTTTTTTTTTTTTTTTTTTTTTTTTTTTTTTCTTTTGCAGGTTGGCTCCTACTTTGTGGGACAGTACTATCAGGTTCTTCAGCAGCAACCCGATCTAGTTCATCAGTTTTACTCTGAAACGAGCTCGATGATTCGCGTCGATGGAGAGAATTCCGATTCCGCTTCAGCAATGCTGGTCGGATTATTGTTGTTTATTTATATTTGTGAACGTTTTTGTGATTGAATTTCCTTTTTTTTAATATATAATCTTTTGATTGTATTGAAAAGTTGAATATGGTGATTCAAGAGGTTTCAAGAATAGATCTTTTCTGTTATGTAATTGTGTTTCCGGGATTTTTATCTTCTTGAATTGATTGTTGTGGAAGGAGAGTTAAAATTATTTAAAACAGATATTCTATGGTATATTATGAATGCCCATGTGACTCTCGTTCATTTTTTTTTTATATAGTGAACTTTTGATTCTTTGTGATTTAATAGTCTGCTTATTGGAGTATTTTGTTTTTGGGTTTATTTTGTCGTTTGCAGGAAATTCATACGCTTATCATGTCAATGAATTTTACTGCAATAGAAATCAAGACACTCAACTCTCTTGATTCTTGGAATGGATGTGTTCTGGTTGTGGTGACTGGGTCTGTTAAGGCTAAGGACTTTATTGCAAGGAGGAATTTTGTTCAGACTTTTCTCCTGGCTCCTCAGGAGAAGGGTTTCTTTGTTCTCAACGATATCTTCCAGTACATTGATGACGAACCAATTTACCAACATCAGGCGCCCATTTTATCTGAAAACAATTTTGATTCTCAATTGAATGCTTCTAGCCCTCGTCAAGAACAGCTAGGTAATTTGCCTAATAATAGGCTGTTTCGAGATTAAGCATTTACCGCTGGCAATATCAACTTGTGAATGTGACCTACTTTCTCCATTGTTTAGTTATTACTTTGGAACTGAAAAGCTTTAAACTGTATATAAACATCTGCCAATCGATTTCTCCATATGTGGTTGATGGATAGTTATTATCTGTTCCATTTTGTTTATGTCTAAGTTGGTGTTTTTTTTGCAGTTTCCGACTATGTTTTGGAGGAAGATGCCAGTGAGTATGTGAGTAATGTTCATATAGAAGATGATCCAGTTGATAAATACAGTATCCCGGAACCACAGCAGCAGCAGCATCAGGATGTGGAGACAGAAGTTGTGGTGGAGGAAAGTCCAGTAGAAGAGACATCTGCTTCAGTTCAAAATGTGGTGACTGCTGTACAAGAAAACCCCTCCGTGACCGTAGAGGAACCTGTGGAAGAGCCTGTAAAGAAAACATGGGCTTCTATTGTATGCACCTAAAGCTCAATGTCCAAACTCCTTTAATGCTTGCTTGTGTTCAACGTTTGTGCTTCTATTCACTTTTGTATATTCCATTCTTCATTTGTTGGTTCCTTAACCATTATTATTGTATTTAATGGTTTGAAAATGCTAGTTGCGTAAAGGACAGCCTGCATCATTGGCTGCACCTCAACCTTCTTTTGTGGGTACGCAAACTTCGTCAGATTGGAATTACACACCACAGTATACTGAGCAACAGCCAATCTCTACATATACCAGTGTGCCTGATTCTGTAACAGAGGCAGCAGAGGAAAGTTTTGTACTCGAAGAAGAAGGTTAGGTTCTGCTCTTATTGTACTTCATGAAACATGAAAGCCACAATTTTGTTGTTCTCACTTTGCAACGAATTGTGCGGTTGGCTCTGTCCTCTGCATATATGTTGTGTATTATAGGGAAATGGTAAAGATGTGTTTTTAGTATATGAGAAAGGACTTCACTGACTTGATCTTGCGACCCTAAATGTTCCGTATTAAATTTATTTGATGTATGCTTTTTCTGCAAGAAATTCTCATGTATATGTTTTTTTAAGATCATTAGAGTCGACATATGACCTGGCATACATCGAGAATCCAGGAATAAATTTACCTGTTGGACGTGTTTCAAGGCCTTGGAAAATTCAATTCTGTGGGGCTGACCTAGTTTGTGTTTCTTTCTTTTCTTTTTTTGGGGTTGGGTAGGGTTAGAATTAGATTGGTTTTTTAAGCTTCATATTTTGAACCTCTTAGTGATTTTGTTCAAACCATTCTTTCAGGTGAACCAAAATCTGTCTATGTCCGAAATTTGCCTCCTGATGTTACAGAAGATGAAATCGAACAGGAATTTAAGAATTTCGGCCGAATTAGACCTGATGGGGTGTTTATTAGGAGCCGCAAGGTTAAGTTCATTCTATGCTCTGTAATATTTGACTTTATCCATCATCTTCGAAGAAACTAAAATGGAATTTGATTTGTACAGGATATTGGAGTTTGCTATGCTTTTGTTGAGTACGAAGACCTCATTGGTGTTCATAATGCACTCAAGGTTTTTTGTCTTCATCATTCTGAGATCTTATCAGTTCATCCTTCCTTTCTCTTTAGATGTTGCAATTGTACTATTCTTTAGATGAACTCGTTTTAAATTTTCTTATTGCCATGCAACTTATGTTTATACAATATCTGCAACAACCAAAATCTATGTTCTCTGCAGGCGTCTCCCATTCAGTTGGCTGGAAGGCAAGTTTACATTGAGGAGCGTAGACAAAACAGCAGTGGTGTTGTTGCTCGAGGTGGAAGTATGGGCATATTGTTTTCTTCTTATTTAATATTTCTTATTGGTTAATCACTTCCATTCGAATTTCATATAGGAATCCCAACTAAGATTCTACCGCATTACTAATTTAGTCTCTGCCTGACTTTTTATGCAAGTTGACTAGTTTCATCAAAACTGCATAACGTGTCCTCTATTTGAATATCATAAAAGACATTCGTTAAGCCAGCCTTGGATTCTACCACCTTAAATCTACTCTTTGAACTGTATTTATACAAGCTAATGGATTTCATCAAAACTATATAACGTGTTAGCATTCCTTAAAACCAAACTACTATATTGTTTGGCGTCCAATATTCAACATGTGGGCGTCTATTTTCATGACGGTAATCAATTTTTTCTGTTTTCTTGACCAGGAAGGGGAAGAGGCCGAGGTGGTTACCAAACAGAGTCCACAAGGGGGCGATTTGGCGGTCGAAGTTTGGGCAGGGGCAGTAACCAGGAAAGCGATTACAACAGGTTGAGAGGCAATGGTTTCCACCAGCGTGGTTCACGATAGAATAGAAGGTTTGCCTCTAAAGACGGTGGGCTAAAGTTAGTGAGAAGCAAATCTTTTACGAGGCTGATTGAAGATTTCTAGGGTTCAGATTCCAGATGGAATATTTTCTTCCCTTTGGTTTTTTAGGAAAGTTTTCATTATACTTGTTGAGTGCCCATATCACATGAATTGGAATGTTTTTATTTGTCTCTTTAGCGAGTATCTGTTTATTTTCCCCTTGAATGGTTTTTATCATGCAATTCAAGGGGGAAAGTTCCGGGCCTGTTGATGAAGCCCCATGTTGTGAGGGAACGTGGGGTGGGTTGTTTCGTGGTTTAATATATTGAAGGTTAGTGATTTTGTTCTTCATTATGGTTTGTCACTTGGGAGTTTAATTTTCATTTCTCCAGTTATCAGTGGTTTAATGTATCTCTGTTACTGCATTATTTAAAAAAAAAAAAAAATGGACTTCTGTTAAGGGGTTCACACAACAAGAATCCCAAGCATCTTGTGAGTTGAGAAAAGTTGGAGGTGAGCTTTGTTTAGCTATTTAAATTTTGACTTTTACAGAACTTCACAAGGATTAGTGATGTGTAAAAAAAAAAGGAAAACAAAAAACTCTTTTAGGTGTTGAATTTTGTGGTACACAATTTCTTTTATTCATTTGTGCGGTTTTCTTCCCGAACCTTACCCTGCTTTTCTTCTTCTTTTGGGTATATAATCAGTCAAGTGGACCTGGAAAGCTTTACAGAATCAAATCACCCAAGACCATATAACACTATTTCTAAGCAGTTGCAGAAGCTATGGTTACTTCAAGAACATTCTCTGGAATGACACAAAGATCTACTATATCAGTCTCTTCCCCATCATCCTCTGTTTCCCATAGGAAACTAGCATATGCCGCATGAACATGGCTGAAATTCAAAACGTAGGAAGTCATGTCAATCTATGGCATATACTTGTACGATAATAATATATTTTGTACAATTTTTTCTCAAAGTAATAATAATAATAATAATAATAATAATTATCATTAGCATTATAATAATAATAGTAAAAAATCACATACCTATCTTGAGGAGAAGCTTGGACTGCTCGTTCAAAGTAGCTTGCAGCTCTGTCTTGGTCATGGTGCAGTTCCCATACTAACTTAGCATATTGTGACAAAACATCACCGTCTTTTGGATCTGCTAGGATGGCTCTAGAGTAATATTCTTCTGCTCCATTGAGGTCTCCCTTGGTCTGTTCAGAAACAAATCATTTCTAGTTAGACATTAATGATTATTATTACTAAGCAAATTGTTTAAAAAGGGAAAAAAGGAATGCCAATGTTGCATGATATCCACAGGACTTGCCTGATATAAGAATTCAGCATAATTCCTAAGGAACAAAGGATTGCCGGGATTTTCCTCCACCATCCTCTTGTAATACTCCTCAACTCCTTGTTTGTCACCTTCATCCCCACCAGAGCCAAATGAGTTATAATCTCCGCCGCCGCTGCCCCCATCACCACTGCAGCCACTATTGCCACCGATCCCGAGCCCTTTTGCAAGGTACATCTTTTGAGTTAGCAGCCCATTTTCCTGTTCAAGACCCACATTACAAATCTCTTTCTTAACTCTCACCTCCTCAATAAAATTCATGTTCTTCATCATACCCTCCAAGCCAAGATGATCACTTTCCATAGCCATTACATCGTCTCCTACTCTCACTTCTCTCTCTTCCAAGAGCTCCTCATTTTCATCATATTCTTCTCTTTCTTCATCATCTTCTGAATAACTTCCATCCTCTTCTTCACCTTCACTGACACCTCTAGAGTTGTGGAACGAAAAAGACGGTATAGTTTGCAACATCATGCACTTGGGCTTCCTTGTAAACATTTTTGGTTGGTTTGAGTCACAGAATTGATCTTCATTGTTGGTGCAAGAATCATAAGCTAGTCCTTCCAAGTTTCCTTCAGATTGAGCTCTTCTAAAGCCTTTGTGCAAAAACCGGTCGCAATCAATGGAGGGCGAGATAGGGGAGGAATTGCAAGGGACTGTAGTGAGGTTGAGAGACCCGGTTTTGTGGAGTTTGCTGTGGCTATGGTGAATGGTGGCTGGCTTTGTTTCATAGTGATTTGGGCTTTCTGATGAAAATGATGGTAGAAGTGATCCAATAACTGGTGTTGAAGAGCTTCTTAGCATCATAGTTTTGATTCTATGGCTGTTTAATTCTGTTTTGAGATTGAATTTTTAAAACAGCCTGTGGATGACATATAAACCATGTTATTATCTCTTATTGGAAGAATGAAAACATATGATGTGATAAGGAGTTCTGTTATGAGGTAATTTTGCATTAATTAACAATAAGGTTTTAAGTTTGTGTTTTACTCCATAAGAAGTCAAATTGCATCAATTACCACCGACCCTTTTGAAGGGCAATCACCAAAAAAAAAAAAAAAAAAGAGTTTAATCTCTACATTAATTCTCAAATCAACATAGCTGGTCTGTTGGCCTAATTTTCTGGTTGCAGGAAACCGTCACAAAAAAAGGTCAGCTTAATCAAAAGAAGCAATTTCTAGGAGACATTTGTTTCTAAAAAAACTTTCAGCAGAAAAATTCTAGATGTAAGAAAATAGTAAACAACAGTTTCTGCTAATATTATTTTTTTAGGTAATATTATTTTGATATTCTTCTCATTTATGTCCATTAAATATTGTGGAAATGAAGAAAAGTGTTGAAAAAAAAAAAAAAAAAAAAAAAAAAAAAACACTTGCCTCTTTTGAGATGCCTAAACTTCTTCCAAGTCGACCCTCAAATTTGATAATCAGAAGGATGAACCTTTTTCTCCCTCCAATAAAAGAGACACAACGAAACGTCGTTGTGGAGTCATCTACAGAAGCCCCTTTAAATACATAGAAGAAAGGAAGACAAATGCATCATTATTGACTGAGTGACATTTTTCTTTTCTTTTGTTGTTTTTAAGTTTTAAAGTAAAAATTACGTGATATTATTTGTATGGTCTTTAGAGCTTTGGAAGTGAATATCTTTTGGTACAGTTGGGAAGCAAAATATCAACTTGTTCTTTCCTTCTGGTGTTGGGAATTAATGGGAAACCTCACTTGTACCAAATGCCAAAAGAGTGGGGACAACACGTTTTTGCATGAAAACGTATGCTCCATTTTTTTTTTTTTAGTTGCTGGGAAAAAAAAAAGGATTTTTCACGTCATTGTGCCCTTCTTTTTCCTCATTATTTTAGAAATCTAGGCTCATTAACAGAATGAAAAGGATTGACTCAATTTGATTTGAAAGATTAATTTAATTTTTTTTCATACCACTACACTTTTAACCTCACACAACACATTAATCAAGTAAAAATATTTTAAAATGAGATTGTAAAATATCAAATTTTAAACGCATTCTAAAAAAAAATTAAAAAAAAAACATCATTACCGCTAAACAAGACATTGGTAGTAATATATATATATATATATATATATATACACACACACACACACACACACACATATGCTCTATTTGATGCTAATACTAGAAGCTTTTGACAAAACCCATGCGTTTTTGACCCCAAAAGGAAACAATAGCAATGACTTGTTCCTTTTCTGCTTACAATATTCCAAAATTCGATTCCATGGAATTGGTGAAGAGCAATTTGCAAAAGAAAAATAACCCACGTTTTAAAATTTACCAATATTTCCATTGCAACGCGTTTGTATATGTTATTTTGCCAGGTTTTTCTTGTGGGTTGGGAGCCGTACACTTGGTCGAGATTCTGTTTGTTGGACTGCTCATAACATACGATCATTATTGGACAGGTGTCACCTTTCGTACCCCCAAAAAACCTTTTTTTTTTTTTCCTAATCCTCCAACATTGTTCAATCGTTGTAATTAATTTGTTGCGTCACACCCAGCTTTCAAGTACAAGCCACTTTTGAGTTCCGCAATGAAATTGTTTTACCAGAGCCAAAAATAAGATGAAATGAAAAAAATAAAAAAGAAGCAAAACGTCCAACAAAAATATTAACATTACTGAGTTGTTTAGTTGGGAGATTCGTATTTTGATTTGAATCGTGATTCGTAATTTGTTATAGTATTTTCTCTCATAAAAAATACACGTAAATTTAAAATAATTCTGAATTATAATTTTAAATTCATGAACCAAACGTCTTATATATGTTTTGTCAATTTTTTATCACTTTATATATTTATTATTTAACGTGTTAACTCTATTAATATATTATATTATTATTTTAAAAAATAAAATAATAAAATTTACGCATTAAATAATAAATAATAAATAATAAATAATAAAGAGAGTGACGAAAAATTAGATATTATAACATTTCTTAACTCTACTATTAACAATAAGGTAAAGCGAAGGTGTTTTAGTTTTGGATTTTGATTCCATTCATGCACCTCCTGTTTCTCAAATGGTTTACAGTCTGTATTTTGTTGTCATTGAGTATTCCACTGTTGGTCGGTTTTTTTTCCGCCAATCCGTTCACGATCTCGTTCATTTTATCAATTTAAAATTTTAGTTTTAAATTTTTATAATTAAAATTTTTTAAAAAATATCACATTTAATTTTGTTTATTATAGTTAAAAATTTTTAAAAAATATTATATCTTAATTTAAATTAAAAATTTAAATCTACAAAATAAATGAGAGTTTATTAATATTCACAACTAATTTGACATTTTAGCAAAATATATAGATAAATAAATAAGCACTGTCAGGATAGGTTGGAAAGTCACAGTCACCTCATCTAAAGCAACCTATTAAACATAATAAGAAATTTATCACAAGGAAAAGAAATAAATAAATAAATAAAAACTCACCTATCCCAATATGGTGTACCAAATGAATGTATTATTCTTAAATTTTAAGTTTTATTTATTTTATCGATTTGAATTTAAAATTTAAATTTTATTATAATAAAATTTTTTTAAAAATAATTATATCTAATTTTTTTATTATAATAAAAAATTTTAACACAAAATTATATCTCAATATAAATTAAAAATTTAAATGAGTGAATTAAAATAACATTCAGTATTTTATTAGAGAAATACGACGCCAATTATAACATCTTTTAAACACACAGCAGAATAACACATGTAAAATCTTATTTTATTAACTTTTGCGCGATTCTTCTCGAAAAAGTGGCAAGAGAGAAGAAAAGCTAGATCACGGATAGGACCCATCAATCAAAACTGTTAACATTCTGCATTATGGAAGAGGAGCCACACGATCATTACAAGTGCTGATGAGATGACGCTTTACCCTTCACTCTGACATAAAAGCTTTCAAAATATGAATATCCTTGAAAGCTTTCCGATATCACTTTCAGTTTCAGGCCAACTCCAGAAGTTCGGATCAGGGGCTTTCATTTTTGTTTGTGTCCGTATCTTCTAGAGAGAGAAACAGAAGAGAGAGAGAGAGAGAGAAGAATTTTGGGGTCACGATGTTTGGCTCCTCCTGCAACTGCTTGTGTTGGAATAAACACACCGACTTCTCTCTGTCTGAGCCCGAGACCTTCTCTCTCCCTGCGCCATTGCCCAAATGGCCTCAAGGTAATGAGAATTCGGCTCCGATATTTTAGCTTTTTTTGAGAGATTTTTGACGTGGTTTTCGTGTATGATCCGTTTCATTCATGTTTCTCTTGGCGTTTCGTGGATGATAATCGGTTTGTATGTTAATTTTTTTTTTGTTTAATTTTCTTTTTCTCATATTATTCGGGTTTTTTCCATGATAATTTGACACTTTGTTGTCTTCTAGTTGTTTTTCTGCGCATGAAAATCTTGGACTAATCAGAAATGAGTAATTTTCTCCGTTCTTTTTACAACTCAATCACAACTCAAACTTTTTAATATAATATTTTTTCTCATAAAAATTTAAATTTAACTTATTGTGATCATAAAATCTTGATAAGGACCTTATTGGTCACATTATACAAGCTAATCGGTATGAATTAACTAACGTCCAGGAGGTTTTCAGGAAAGTTTACTTATTGCACTATGAATGGTGCTAAGGGTATTTGAAGTTATAATCATACTATTCCTACCGTGTTACGGATTTTATTCCAATAATAAGATAACTCAATGTAATATCGGGGGGTAAAAGTCTTTCGAGCGGTGTTTTTTCTCACATAAATTCACTCTAAATTGAGAAAAGAATTGAAGTTTGAACTAAATATTGGAAGATTATTGGAAGATTGGTTATTTTTTCTTTAAGAATATTTGTTTTATTTATTTATTTTTTTCTTTTGTTTCCTCTTCCCATGCACTTTCTTGACTTTTTGTCTATATAATTGTGGATCTTTTGGTCTAGTTACTTCTTAGAAATTCACATTTTGATATTATTCCTTATTCGCGTATTTACGAATACTGTTCTGTCTCGTCATAGTTGCTTTTGGTATATCAGTACTTTTCTTTCTTTCTTAATGGTTGGTTTGGATTCTTTTCGAGTTAGAACCGTGCCATTTTGGAGATAAAATTTAGAGTCTAGCCTATTCCTTGTGTTAACTTTGGAATCTATACTGGAGAATTCAATTCTTGGTCCCCTTTTCAGGTAAAGGTTTCGCTTCTGGAAGAATAAGTATTGGAGAACTAGAGGTTTTCAAGGTCACTAGATTTGAATTTATTTGGTGCTACAATCTCTCACAGGACAAGAACAAAGGTTTTTCATTTTACAAACCCGCGGAAATACCCGATGGATTCCATAGCCTTGGTCATTTTTGCCAACCTAATAACCAGCCGCTACGAGGCTTTCTCCTTGTGGCGAGGGAAGTGGCTTCACACATGCCAGAAAGTTGTCATGCTTCCAATACTGCTAAGCTACCGGTGCTTTGTGAACCGCTTGATTATGTCTTGGTTTGGAGCCCTGATGACTGGAGTGAGGAAAAGTGTGGTGGATGTGGCTACTTTTGGCTGCCTCAGGCACCCGAAGGTTATAAGCCAGTTGGTTTTTTGGTTACGAACAAGCCAGTGAAGCCGAGGTTGGATGAAGTGAGGTGTGTTCGGTCTGATTTAATGGATGAATGTGATGCTTATCGGCTATTACTTACTTGCAACTCTAGATATATGAATTTCTCTTTTCGAGTTTGGAGTACTAGACCACGTCACAGGGGGGTGACGGGAAAAGGGGTACCTGTAGGGACATTTTTCTGCAGCAGCAGCTGGAGTGCTGGAGAGGACTTGTGTATTGGATGCTTGAAGAATCTGGATCCAACACTGCCTGCAATGCCGAACCTTGATCAAATCCATGCTCTTATTAACCACTATGGCCCCACTGTTTTCTTTCATCCTGAAGAGGTCTACTTGCCATCTTCTGTTTCATGGTTTTTTGAAAATGGAGCTCTCCTGTACAGAGCAGGCATCACGGTTGGTGAACCCATTGATGCTTGTGGCTCAAATCTGCCTGGCGGGGGAACAAACGATGGGGAGTTTTGGATCGACTTGCCACGTGATAAACGAAGAGAAAGCGTGAAACGCGGAAACTTGGAAAGTGCAAAGCTTTATGCTCATGCCAAACCAGCTCTTGGAGGGACTTTTACTGACATTGCAATGTGGGTGTTTTGCCCCTTCAATGGACCAGCCACTCTCAAAGTTGGACTTATGAATATAGCTCTTAGCAAAATCGGGGAACACATCGGCGATTGGGAGCATTTCACTCTTCGGATATGCAACTTCACAGGAGAGCTGTGGAGCATGTACTTCTCACAGCACAGTGGTGGGGAATGGGTGGATGCCTATAATTTGGAGTTCATAGAAGGAAATAAAGCCATTGTTTACTCGTCAAAAAGCGGACACGCGAGCTTCCCTCATCCTGGAACTTACATCCAAGGCTCCTCAACTCTTGGGGTCGGTATAAGGAACGATGCAGCCCGTAGCAATTTGCTTGTGGATTCAAGCAAACAATACGAACTTGTTGCGGCAGAGTATCTGGGAGATGGGGTTGTGACTGAGCCGTGTTGGTTGCAGTATATGAGATTGTGGGGTCCAACCATTGTTTATGATTCAAGAACAGAGCTGGATAAGATGATCAATAGGTTGCCTATGATGGTTAAATATTCAGTAGTGAACTGGTTTGCTAAAGTTCCAGTTGAGCTTTCTAGGCAAGAAGGTCCAACTGGGCCAAAAGAGAAGGACTACTGGCTGGGCGACGAAAGAGGTTAGCTTGAGTAAAAGGTACCAAACCTTGGTAGATTATCATTCTTTGATTCATCAACTGTTTTATTCAGTTACACGGTTAGGAAAACATGGAATTCGCATTGTGTATTCTTATATCTTTATATATATATATATATATATATATATATATATTCGTGTACCGAGCTGAAGACAGTTGTAGTGGATTGTTGTCCAAGTACGAGGACAATGAAATAGAGTATGAAGATTGATTGTATATTATAGCTCGAGTAAGTCATATGGTCATATGGCAAGGAAAAGAAGATGGAAATTTTCACGACTAACACCCAAGAAGATGGAAATTTTCACGTCCAACGGGTGTTAGTTTTCCTATTAACTTTTTTCTTTCTTTCCCACGTTGTGTGTGTGTGTGTGTGTTTTATTTATTTATTTATTTATTTATTTTTATTTTTATATAGAAAATGATCTTGTTGAATTCAATCTTTCGGAAAAACGTGTGACTACGGGTGTGTGAAAGTTCTCAAATACGCACCCTCATTACTGCTTATTCTTGGATTGGTCAATGATCATTTTGGAAGGACCACATAAGCTGTTGTCGTTTATGCGGCATTCCGTTTGTCATTAGAAAAAGCATGTTGTCGTTTATGCGTTATATTGTCATTTCAGAATCAAGTACATGTCCCTTTTGGCATAGCCATAAATTTCAAGAAACCACGTGACCTCCTTTCCTTGTAGATATTTTCTTTGTCGTCTAATTTTCTTGTCGTTTTAAGTCCGTAAACGACACGTGATTCATGTTTTCAGTTTTGTCGATAAACGTACTCTTTTCTCAATCAGATCCCGTCTTTAGATCAATAAAAATGACACATGCTTTGTTAATAAAATTCTCTGTCGTTGACCAAAAAAACGACATGAAGTTTGATGATCTATAGTTCATGTCGTTTTTCAAGGATTTGAAATGACATGTCGTTCCACATTAAGAAATTCGCAAATTGTTTTACTACATAGACATACACGGGTTAATCTTGTGCATCTGCATCCACGAACAAAATGAAGGCATAAAATTATTTTGTTACGGTAATATCCAAACATTTTGTTAATACCTTGTATTTTTAATAATATTAAACGGTATTTACACTGCTAAAGAAAATTTTTTTAACACTCTTAGAATTAATAACTGAAAATTATTTTCTGAAAACATTTTAATTTATTTTGATTGTTTAACTGTTAAATGTTTTAAAGTATTTTTAGATTTTTTTAAAAAAAAAAATTAGTAGTTTTATTGTTAATAAATGAGAAGGGTATAATAGACATTTCATAGCCGAAAACATTTTAATTTATTTTGATTGTTTAATTGTTAAATGTTTTAAAGTATTTTTAGATTTTTTTAAAAAAAAATTAGCAGTTTTATTGTTAATAAATGAGAAGGGTATAATAGACATTTCATATCTTAAAAATTAATTTATTACATTTTAAGGTAATAAAAAATTATTTCTTAAAATGTAAAGATACCGTTTTTAATATTATTAAAAATATAAGATATGAAGACAAAACAGAAAACCAAAACGATTTTATCCCCGAAATAAACGATATTGGTTTTAACTTTTAGCTTCCCACCGTTCTTTTTTGTGAAACGTTCGAATTCTCGTTTGCGATTGTTTGTAAAGAAAAAGGCAGTTTATGTCATAAACGACAAGTCGTTTCATGTCAGATTACCATCTCCAAGCTCTTTGTAACGGCGCGACAGATCATCTAGGGCACCAAGGCAAAGCATGAGAAAGATCTCACACAAAACTAATAATACGATACGAATATAGTGGAAGCGCGAAATACACAGCGCAACAAACAATAGATATGCTGGGAAGAAGGTTCATTTCCTTCTTCAAAAATTCCCCCAAATCAAAACTTTCCAGGTACTTAATACTTCTTCATTCTTCCACAAACCCAGCCTTTTTTTTTAATTTTAATTTTAATTTTAATTTTAATTTTTTTTTTTTTTTCATACACTCATTAATCATTTGTAGATTATTTTGCGTTCTGTGAATCTGGTTTACCGAAATAAGTCGAAATTTTTTTTATTATGAAATTGGTTGTTGCAGTTCAAAAAATCCCGTGGATGAAGAGATAGACAAATCATTTGGTCGTAAAGCAGTGTCTTTCATCTTGATTACTGTCACCGGTGGCGTTGCCTTGAGTGCTCTTGATGATCTTGCTCTTTATCATAGCTGTAGCAGGTACAATCTCACAGTATTATAATTTTCTTTTTTTTTTTTTCCCTTTTTTTGTCATATTATTTAATAGAAAGGAGAACTTGAATAATGTTCCTTAGGTAGATTGGTTTGCCATTGTAATTCATATTGCGGATGGCTAGTATTGGTATGCATGAATTTATTCACTTTTAGAAAGAATATATTGTAATACTTATTCTTAGGAGGCTGACATGAACTAAGAGTTTGTTTGGTAGGTGGGAAAAGTGGAAGGAGGGAGGGGTTTAGGGGATTAGTGGAAGGATTTTGTTGCTTATGATTGTTTGGTTGGAGAGAAAAGAGGCGTAAATAAATTGGATGATGGGTTTTACTTCATTTGAAGAATTTCAGTTTTAGTCACTTCCAATACGGAAAGATTAAGGGTGTGGGGGAAGCCCTTTTCTCTCCATTTTCCTCACGCAGGTTAAATACATTTTTCTCCTTTTTATTTTCTTTCCCTCTTTCCAAACGTAGCCTAAGCCCTGACTCCACATTATAAAGCATGTTGAAAGTGTTATTACCGGATTTGAAACTCATCATGGCGGACTGTTGTTTATTTGTACAAACAACAGAAAGGAGAACACTCGGAGAATTCAGCTGATATCCTATCACCAGAGGAACCTGTCAAGATGGTAGTTTAGGTAGTAATATAATGGCGGAGTTGTATCATGGATGCCACTGGGAAAGGATTTTTTTTTTTTTTTTGACATATGTCCGGAGGTTTTCTCACGCTTCCACCTGTGGATATGATTACAATGTGGGGTGAATTGTTACTGCTTTCTGGATCAGTTTCTAAAAAACTTGTATTTTTCCCGATATTGGTAAAGTTGCCAGGAAATAGAGGCAGTTTTACTTCGTATGTTATTTATAATATAATCTCTTAGTTCCATCTTCTGGAGAAATACTCTTAATTAGCATGACGTTTCATGATAATTAATGTTAAATGGAATGTGAACTTTGAGTACATTGATTTTTACTATGCATGATTGAGTCTAATGGCTTTCTTTTCCTTATGAAATTTTTAGGAAGGCCTTGGAGAAAATCGGTAACAATCAGCAAATTAAGGATGCTTTAGGAGAGCCTATTGTGAAGGGTCCATGGTACAATGCATCACTTGCAGTAGCTCACAAGAGGCAATCTGTGTCTTGCACATTTCCCGTCTCGGGACCACAAGGCACTGGTGTCTTGCAGTTGAAGGCCGTTCGTAATGGAGGTACTGACATTTTAGTAATATCATGATCTCGAACAACTGAGACCGATAGATGCATGTGCCACACACACTCAAATGACAGATATTCAATGTAGCAAATGAACCGAGTGATAAACCAACATAAAATTTTCTCCGTGCATTTCCAATCTCTGTTCATGCTCTTTCTCTATAGATTACGGCCTCTCATTTCACGGATTCGAGTTTTCAATTCGAGCTGAGATGTGACATTTTTTGAAAGTTTTTTACTGTAGTAGAAAAAGTTAGATGTGACATTTTTGGAGAGTTTTTTACTGTAGAAACTTAAAACTGAAAACTTGAATCGGTGAAATGAACAAAGCCGTGATTCCAAAGCCAAAACCATCAAATCATTAGGCGCCCGTGTTGGTTTGTAATTATTCTCCTTTCTAGTGTTAAAAGACTTTTCATAAATTCCTTGTTTGGCACGACCAAGTTCTGTTTCAGAATTTAGAAACAAAAAGTTAAAAAAAGCTATAAGAACTTCTTCTGTGTTGATACTTGATGCTATATTTGAAGTACGCAAAGCGCACTTTTCTGCATTCGTAACTTTTTTTGTTATCAATTTCGCAGAGGACACCTGGTTTTCATTTTTGCGGCCTCGTGACTGGGACATCATAATCATGGATGCTCTCCTGCATGTTCCTGGGAATGATGAGAAGCACCAAACTTTCCGGATCAGTGTCTCTGACTATTTCCCTCCGCCCCCTCAAGCTTGCACGGCATGTACAGACTGCAGCAAGCCCCGAGAATCAGAAAATCCAGAAAAGAAATGAAGCAATGCACTCGTAAGTATACTAGTATTTGTTTTCTCCAATACAGATCAGTGGTCACAACTCACAACCGACGTTTAGAACAAGCGGGTGATGCTCCAAGTTCCATATCATCGGCATGAATTTTGTTTTTTTTTTTTTTTTTTTTTTTTTTTTTTTTTTTTTTTTTTCACTTTCTGAGAGCAATAAGTTAAGAAGACCAGTTTCCCTGATTATTTAAGTTTGGGAAAGATATGTTACATTCAGCAATTTTATGATAGACAGATAGCCATTTTTGCTGCTCCGCATGTGATCTTATTATTATTATTATTATTATTTTTTGCTAATAATCATAAGATGTAAAACCATGGACAAATCTAAGACTCGCCCAAATCCAATTCTCTCTCCCCTCTCCTTTTCCCCCACCTTTTTTTTTTTTCTTTTTTAAATTATTTTTTATGTTAAAAGAGTAAGTTTGGGCTTTTGGGTGTGTCCACAAATCCATCGAATCATAAAACCATATCTAATTTTAGCCTTTGATTTGCTTTATTTTATTCATTCGTTTTCCCTTCTTTAATGGTGCATCTATGGTTTCGTTGCTATCAGAGACAAATAGTGGATCTAGAGAGAAAAAGGGCAAAAAAAAAAAAAAAAAAAAAAAAAAAAAGTGGAAAACAGGGAATGGTGGACCCAATTATGATTTCAACAAGACAAAAATTAACAAGTTTTTCAAGTCGCCAATTTGTTCTACTTTCAACGTGGCCGTCACGACTGTTCCCGAAAAATGTTCCCCACCTTAACTTCTAGAACTTGTTTTTACTTTTGTCTCAGTAGTTTTTGCCTTTAGTTACCTCGCACGTTTGTACTGAACATGTTAAAACTCCTTTGGAATTATACGGTAGATATTTGATACTTGATAGTTCTTTTTGTCTTTGTAAGGAGTGAGGACCATAGTGATTTAAATGCTAGAGGTGAGAATGCTTTTCTATAATATTTATTATTATTATTATTATCATCAATTCGAGTCTAAAACGTGTAACAAATATATTCTTCATATGTCAGTATCATCAATTAATTTTCCACCCTTTGATTTCAAAATTCTTTTCCATCATTGATTTTCATGAGTATTTAGAAAATATCTTTGGAATATACAAAAATATTTGCTGGGGGCTTAGTTGAAACATGAATATATAAATCGTGTAAAATAGGACCCCTTTCTTCATTAATACCTGAATTATTAACATACCCAGCTGACCATAAAATACTCGACATAATTTATCGATGGTGGGCTAAAATTTAAAACAACTCACAAAAGTGAATATCAAATCGTCCATATCAAAGAGGACAAGTTCTAAATGAGTTAGCATGTAGTAAATGTGGAATTTACGTCCTCAACCAACACCTCTTGGACGCATTGTCTCGATCACCAGACAACATAATTATCAACGAAAAAGAAGATTAGAAAAATCGTCAGACACGTGGCAAGAAACCAGTGGGTGCAGGTGGAACAATAGTAATAATATTGAGCATAGGATATGAAATCCAATAACGTGTCCCCACGTATGCACGAGCAAAGCAACGGTGGGCTGTCTCCCTAGCGCCGGACAGAGCCGTACGCCGTCGATTTCGAAAAGGGTGAGATTACGTGGCGAGCCACGGGAGAGCCATCAGGCTTGACGGACCTGAAAGAGCCGTCCAAATTCCGGACCTCAAATCTCGCCTAAACGAATAATCATTTGTTATTTTCATTTATTTTTAATAATCGCGGATCGTCTGTTTTGCTGTCTACACATTAATTCCGATGTTCTGGTCCCCTAACTCCCAGAGTCACAGGTTCCCTCGATTGTCAAGTGGGACCCACACGGGTCCTAACTCCAACGTCGAGCCCTGTGATGTCTGGTCCCACCTTTGTCGGCTTGTCGTTTGGAAGCCCATTGATTGTGGGTCCTACTCTCCTACTTAAAGGATTACGAGATAATCTCGTTTTCTCAAAGTCCCTTTTTTCTTCTCCGAAGGATATGAGATAATTACATGGCAAAATTTTATACGATCAGTTGAAATTTAACAAAATTTTTAAATATTATAAAATAATAGAAATTTATAATGATCTAGATTTTATACTATTTTTGACTGGATAAATGAGGCGCCATATCACCCTATTATGAAATATATCCATCTACTCTTCTTTTTTTTTTTTTCTTTTTTTTATTAAATTATATATCCATCTACTCTTTCCTATACTAATTTACTTCAATTTTTTTTGAATGATGTGATATGATGAGTTCATTTCTTTTGTCCACGTTAAATTTATTTATAGAAAGTCATTAATTAAAAAGTCAAAATTCATTTACTATATTGCTCATTCGATAATTAAGGCCTGTTCGGTGGGGCATTTTTTTGAGTGAAAAACTCAAATAAAGGTAACTCAAGTTATAATTTTATTCGAGTTCATGTTCTTTTAAGTTTGAACTCGAGTTTGGAACTAAAATTCGAGTTCAAGTTTCCCCTTCAACTCGAGTTCAGAAACTCGAACTCAAGTTAATGAATAATATTTTTTCTATTCTTAAAAATGCTATAACTTTTTCGTTTTAATTCTGATTGAGATGATTTTTTTTCTATGCGTTGACAACGAAAATACTAATAAAACTAGACCCATATACCCTATTAAAATTTTTCATCAGCATTGAGTTTTTATTAAAATATTATCTAAAAATAAATTCAAGTTTTGACTTACTCAAACACAAACTCAAAAAAGATTCTTATCTCAAACCATAACTCAAATGTACACAATCAAACACAAACTCAAGTTCCAACTTCAACTCAAGTTATAACTCAAACTCAACTCAAAATCTACACTCAAGTTACCTAACTCAAAAACAGCAAAAGAATAAACCCTTAGATATGTAACATCTATTTTTTCATTATTTTTAAATTTATTTATTTATTGGTTTTGTCCCATTTTACGGCATGGTCAAAAGGTTAAAACGGTGGGGGTTTTGTAATCCTTTTATAAATTTAAAAAAATTCCCATGAAATTCTGGTTTTTTTAACGAGTAAATCAATTTCCGCTTTGTCAGAAGACTAATAGAAAGATCACTTATGAGACGTTTGGTAAGCGGATTCATACTTTGATTTGAATAATTATTCATGATTTGCTACAGTGTTTTTTCTCACAAAAAATACAAGTAAATAAAAAATGATTCTAATATCATAATTATAATCCATAAACCAAACATACTCTTAATTTTCTTTTATTACACTCCATACTCTTTTCTTTCTTTTTTTTTTTCCCCTCATTGATTAGTTTGATTATTATTATAATTCATTATGTTCATTCAAGTGAATAAGGCTTACTGTTGACTGATCTAGATTTTGTCGCAAGGGATAAAGACAAGAAATGCATTAATAAATGCTAACGGTGGCAAACAAATATAGCATATGGTGGAGAAAATTAGAGAGTAATACGTCTCAAATTATTCTTGTAAAGGAGAATGTCATATCTAAACATGTTTGCTTCATAATTTTTTAAACATGCCCTTCAAACTCTTAAGAAAAAATTTAAACACTCCGCATTAAAATGTAATTTATATAAGTCAATTAGTAGACAAAATATTACTCAAGATTTACATATAAATAGAATTTTTTATTAACTGATAAGTTAGATTCTCAACTTTCTATTTCAAATCCTCAATTAATTTATCTTCATTATTGATTGCATCGTCAAAAATTGTAAAATTTAAGATTTAAAATATAAAAAAAATTAAAAACTTAAGTACAACATGTTGTCAATTTATTGACTTTCGTTATTAATTGTATTGATTGATTCATTTTATTATTTTGAATCATAAATTAAATTTTTACTATCATGTTTTTTTATATAAAAATTCAAATTGTTACCGTATTTTTTTTTTCAAATGATTTCACTCGAGCAAAGAAAAAAAAAAAAAGGTGGTGCGTGAATGTAAATTTGATTGGTAATCCAAAGCGTGTAAACTAATCAAAATGGGCAATATCTCCCGGTATTTCGGCCGAGAAACTGAAAATATCACGCAGAAGAAAGAAATAAAAGAAGAAGAAGAAGAAGAGTGAGGGGCAGAAGCAAGCAAAGATATTGATGGGGGCGCACAGAGCGGACAGGTGGGGCCCACAGCTTCAATTACTGGGCCCATTCCCATCCCCATCTTCTTCCTCCCCTCGCCCTCCGCCTTTCCCCATTTCCCATTTCCACCACCACACCAAACCTACCTGTCCTCTCCTTACCTCTCCAAATAACAAAAACCCACCAAACCGAGGAAAAAAAATATATTACAAAAATTATTAAATCAATAAAAGAAATATTTTTCTTTTCTTTCATCTCGTTCTCGCCGTTAACTTTGCTTCCAATTAAGCCTCGCTTAAACCCATATTCTGGGTCTGAACTTCCACGATCAATTTGAATTCTGTACAGAAAAGAAACAGGAAAAGAAAGGAAAAAAAAAAAAAAAACAATTCAAATGCAGGTTTCGGCAAGTGGGTCGATGTCGACGGTGTCGAATGACGACAATTTGGTCCTCTCCTCCGAGGACTCGTCGAGCCCGGACGAGTTCGAGCTCGAGCTGGGTCTTGGCTTGAGCCTCGGCTCTGGCGTTGCCAAGGCCCGGCACCAAGCTTTGCGGAGTCAGTACGCTAGAATTTTGACGGCCAAGGATTTCCCTTCCGTGGTTTCTTCTGCTTCGTCTTCTTCGTTATCGTCTTCGTCGTCTTCTTCTTCTTCATCGTCTTCTTCTTCGTCTCTGAGCAGAGCTAACGTCACGGCTGGTACGAAGAGAAGTGCTGATTCCGTGGCCGTCGCTAATGGCGCCAGGTATGAACTCTATTACTGATGGGTTGTTTGAGTTTTGTGTATAAAGTGTTGGGTTTTCGTTTCTATTTAATTTCGTGTTGTGTAGATATTTTGCGTGGATTTTCTTACGTGTTTTTTGCCTCTGGGTACTACGTGATCATCTGATTGTGTTTAATCAATATTCATTTGTTTTGAATCTGTCCCACAATTCAATTTTGGAACCTGTGATCATGTTGGAACAAGATCGGAGATTGACAAATAAGAAATAAAAATTAGAAAAACCCCAATTTTGGAACTTGTGATCATGTATTGTTAGAACAAGATCGGAGAATGACAAATAAGAAAGAAAAATTAGAAAAACCCTCCATGATCCATCAAAAGAAGAAGAGGAAATTTTTGTATTCTTTGTTCTGGTTTTATTTGATGATGGATTGGATATTTAACCTTGTTTTTCTGATATGATTTGTTGAAGCAGTCAGGTGGTGGGATGGCCTCCTATCAGAGCTTACAGAATGAATAGCTTGGTTAACCATGCGAAATCGCCGGCCACCGAAGCATTCCACTCGGGCGAGGAAGAAAATAGATGCATTAGGAAGGCTGACAATGGGGATGGGAAGAAGAATGGGAATCCTAATGATAAAGGGCATGTGAGGAGTTCTCTGTTTGTGAAGGTGAACATGGATGGAATTCCAATTGGGAGAAAGGTGGATCTGACGGCTCACAAGAGCTATGAAGCCTTAGCTCGGACATTGGAGAACATGTTCAACGAACCCACTACACTCGTCAAACTGAGTGAGTGTGTTATAAGTCTTATAATCTTAACCTTAACAATGAAGAAATGGAACCAGCTATGGCTTTAAAGAGGATCATGAATTAAGCTCACTTAAAATTTAGATTTGCGTTATGAATTTAAGAGTCCATTTGACCAGGATGTGATAACTGAATGAAATATATAATTGGATGTTATGTGTTATGCTCCCGCTTAATACAATTCAATGGTTTATGCTTTTTTAGTCTTTCCATTGTCAGGCCATTGTCAGGTTTAGTGAAGGGAAATATAAGATATGTGAAGCTTCTTTGGTAACATTTCCATAATTGTTGAAAATTGAAATCTTCTTGGCAAGGTGGAAGAATTTATTTACATTACTTGGTTAGCATTTAGAATAGTTTTCCTTTCGTTTTTGATCGTGTGATGGTGTTATCTGTAATTAGGATTGAGCGGAAAGGATGGACCTTCAAGGCTGCTGGATGGATCATCAGAATTTGTGCTCACTTATGAAGACAAAGACGGGGATTGGATGCTTGTTGGGGATGTTCCTTGGGGGTATGAACAACTGCCTATTTCTTTCAATAATCAACATCATTGTGAAACTGGTTATGAATATTCCTTTACATTAGCTTTATGTTATGCTTGTTTCAACTCTTACATGTACCTTCCAAAAGGGCTAAACGCTGTTCAAAGTGTTAGAAAAACTATATTAGTATTTCATGCTTGATGTTATGATGACAATCTTAGAACGAAAAGAGATATTATGCTGACCGTCTTAGAACTAAAAGAGCTGCAGAGTCTAAGTTATAAGCTGGTGTGAGTTCCAATATCATGTTAAAATAATCGTTTTAAGCTCTCTACCTCCTTGCATCCAGAAAATGGGTTTCTGTCGTTGGAAAAAGAGAGCAAAAAACGCGAACTCTGGTTTAACCTTTTAGTAGTATGAAAAACAAGTTCGAGTTGAAACTTACAAATTCATGAATTTTTTTTTTCTCTTTTAGTTATTCTTTTGATGATTTAATTCAATTATCAATTTCCATATTACTCGTTGGTTCTCTGTGGTTTAAAGTATTAACTACTGAATTTTATGTTCAGGATGTTCCTTAGCTCCGTCAAGAGGCTCAGAATTATGAGGACTTCTGAGGCCAATGGACTTTGTATGTAGACGGCCACGCAACTCCGGAATACATCTCTACTTACCTCTTGAAGTTACTCTTCCACACTTAAATACTAATTCTATTGAGTTCTATTGCAGCTCCAAGACTACAAGAAAGGAACGGGAGGCAAAAATGCCAACCAATCTAGAGCCTTTACTCACACCTCAAGATGAGACACAGTCTATGCTTAAAAGTGCTATACAAGGAAGATAAAGAGATACCTTAGAAGTGAAGAATTTGGAGAAGTGATGATTGGTGTTGCGGCTCTTCTGTTATGGTTTGGTTAATGCTTTATCAAATTTCATTGCATTTTATTCTTCCTACTGTTTCTCTGGGCATTTCCTCCCTGCTCTTTGAAATCCAGTGATGTTAGTTTTCGGTGCAATACCATTACATTTTGCATATTTCGATGAATGATGTTTGTTTTTGTTGTAAATATGGGGATGCGCATTTGATTTTGTATTCTCTGCACACCAGATGGGCTTTCCCCACCTCATAAAGAAGAAAAGGATAGAAAATGGAGTGATATTATTATGTTTTTTTAAACCTTCGAAGGTGAATGTTTGCCTTGCTTTGACAATTGACATCAGCACTAACATCTATATATGTATATATAGGAATGGTCTCCGGTCAGGCACTTAGAATTGTGCCTGACCGGTCAGCAAAGGTAATAATGACCGTTAGATTTGATATCAACCGCTGTGATATAAAGTCTATGAACTCAAATGTTTCTAAGTGCCTGATCGGTCAGCACAGGTAATAATGACCGTTAGATTTGATATAAGCCGCTGTGATATAAAGTCTATGAACTCAAATGTTTTCGTAAGACTTGGACTATATATATATATATATATATTTTTTTTTTTTTTTTTAAGGAACCGAAATTATCTTTGCTGTTATAGGACTGGTTGAAGTTTGCTTGTTATTCCTTGACCAAGACTGAAATTTGAACAAAAGTATTGTCATCTAATTCAAGCACATGAATTTTGTATTCCAAAAACAGAGAGAGAGAGAGTAGTTTGAAGTTAAAAACTATATTTTACTAGAGAGAGAGAGAGAGTAGTTTGAAGTTAAAAACTATATTTTACTCACCTAAAGGGAGAGAGTTCAAAGTTAAAAACTATATTTTACTCACCTAAAGGGGAGAGTTCAGTTGTAACTGGTAAATATACTAAATGTTAAGCAGCTCGTGGGCTCATTTAACAAATTTTATTATTTAGTCAATAGACATAGGCCACAACTCCAGGAGAATCTCATAATATTACTTGCAAAGATAAAAAATTCTTTGTTATTCTGGTAGAGGGTACAACAATTTGTCTGCTTTTTCAAACTTTGCTCCTTGCACAAAAATTCAAACTCTATATGCATATAAATCTTCTAGACAACCGAGAGGGGCCAGTGATTACAAGCGTTTTTCCTTTGACAATTAACAATTCTACATACAAAAGAAGAATCAAATTACACGGCCAAATGGAAGAACACTCAATAATCTGTTCATCACAGAAGGCCATTCACAGGTGAAGTGCTAAAGATGGGCTTGTCTTTGTTAGCTGCATTTCCATCATTATTGTTGCTACTGCTTTTTCTTCTAGGCTTTGCCTCTCCAAGCATTGTTATGACATCCCTCATGGAGGGTCTATCCTTGGGAAGCTTTGCGGTACAAAGAAGCGCTATTCTAAGGACTAAGAGCATCTCTTCCTGAACATGCTTGCAGTTTCCTACACTCGAGTGTAATGCTTCTTCTAAAGACTTGTTGTCCCTAATCTTCCTCTGAATCCATTCGACAATGTCGATTGATTCTCCAAACTCTGAATCTAACGGCCGTTTTCCGGTGAGCAGCTCCAATAGAACCACCCCGTAACTGTATATGTCAACCTTTTCATCAATCTTCAAGGTGTATCCAAGCTCTGCGAAAGCAATCATAAAATTGACATACTTTGTTAAGTCCTAGAAACAGGGGAAAAAGAACAGTCACAAACAAACGCGTCTAAGAAAACTCACCAGGGGCCATGTAGCCATAGGATCCGGCCACCATAGAAACAGTCTCGTTCTTCCGGACCATCATACGTGCCAACCCGAAATCAGCAATCCTTGCGTCGAGATTTTTATCGAGTAGAATGTTGTTGGACTTGACGTCTCGATGGATGACAGGCGGATGACAATCATGGTGTAGATAAGCAAGCCCTTGTGCAACACCAAGTGCTATGTTATAACGTGAAACCCAATCCACAAGCAACCTTCCGGCTTGTTGCTTGCCGTGCAAAGCTTCTCCAAGGTTCCCATTAGGCATAAACTCGTACAAAATCATGACGTCTGAATCATTGTGTAGAAATCCCAATAACCGCACAATGTTTCTATGCCTAAGTCTTCCCAAGAGATTCACTTCTCCAACTAGATCATTACTGTTTCCCGTCTCAATATCTATCTCTGATCTCCATAGCTTCTTAACTGCTACAACTGTGTTTGAACGTGGAATCTCAGCCTTGTAAACGGTCCCTGTAGCTCCAACTCCGATGATGTTTGACTCCTTCACGCAGCCAAGAATGTCAGCACTTGTAAAACCAAGTCTCTGGAATGCCATCAATCTCCATGGCCACTCTCCACTGCCCATTTGGAAACTTTCCCCAAAGCAAATCCCGGTTGAGTACCACCTCTTGTAAAGAGATCTTGCGCTGAAAAGCGCAATCCCTACTGCTAAAACTGATGATACGCCAATGATCCAACTGGCAATGATGTGCTTTGTGTGCAAACTCCTACGCCTTGACGTGAATTCGGCATTCTGAGAGCATGGAGGGAGGACACCACCGCAGAGGCCAGCATTGCCAACGAGGTCATTGGGGTTTATTGTTCTCAGCACACCATATGCTGGGACAGGGCCATCTAGTCTGTTGTATGATACATTGAGTGTCTCCAAGGCCGGTGACATTCCAAAGTTTTCGGGTATTCCACCAGACAGAGAGTTGTTGGAGAGATCTAGAATGGCCAAAGTTGGCATCATTGCGATCGATTTTGGGATTTCTCCACTTAACTTGTTGTTCCTGAGATTCAGGTTCACCAATTTCTCACATGAAGCAATGCTTGCTGGGATTCTTCCGGAGAAATGGTTCGACGAGAGATCGAGCACCGAAAGTGAAGGACAGTCCTGGAATTGACCTGGGATTTGTCCTTCCAGGTTGTTGTTGGAGACCATGAAAGTTTGGAGAGTAGGAATTGAAAGAATGGTGGAAGGAAGAGAAGAGTGGAGGTTGTTTCTAGAGAAATCAATGAAAGAAAGTGATGTAGAGGAAGAGATATCGTCTGGGATTTGACCAGTGAGACTGTTATTTGCCAATTCTAACCTCTGAAGCTTCCCAAGCCTGCCAAACCCAACAGGAATTATTCCCGATATGAGATTGTTCTGCATTCGAACACGGACGAGCGAAGAACATGTCGACAAGCCAACTGGAATTGGCCCTGAGAAGGCATTGTTGAAGAGGATGAGCTTGGTGAGATTGCCCTTATCACACAAGGTTGGTGGAATCTCACCAGAGAAGGAATTGGACGATATATCCAACCACTGCAATGGTGAATTATTGCCAAGATCACTTGGCAAAGGACCCGTAAACGAATTGTTCCAGAGCTCAAGAACCTCTAATTTTGGCAAGCTCCCAAGTTGGAGTGGCACTGAACCGGACAACCGGTTGCACATCAGATTCAGTAGCTGAAGTTTCTTCAGCTCTGCTAATTCAGCAGGGATTTCTCCTAATAACATATTGTCCGAGAGATCTAGCAACTTCAGCGAAGCCATCTTGCTGATTTGCGGTGGAATTCTGCCTTCGAAATTGTTCTTGTACAAGAAAACCGTCTCCAGATTCTTGAGCCTCCCCAGTTCAGGTGGAATCTCATTGCCAAGATTGCCAACTGACAAATCAAGATACTTTAGAGCGGTGAGATTTCCAAACTCGGGCGGAATTCCACCTTCGAATTCGTTGTAGCCAAGAATTACACTCTCCAGGGAGGAAAGCTGCCCGAGCTCCGGCGGGATTAGGCCTGAGAGGTTGTTCCCAGAGAGGCCAAGAAACTTGAGCTTCTGCAAGTTCTTGAAAGACTTTGGAATAGTCCCTTGGAAGAAGCTTCCTCTGAGATCCAAAGTCTCCAACAAAGTGGCATTCCCAAGATCCTGAGGAACAAATCCCGTAAAATCATTGCTCGAAGCATTCAAATATGTTAATCCACCTGCTCTTCCAAGGCCCGAAGGAAAGCTACCAATGAATAAATTCTGGCTGACATCGAGGCTCCGCAATGTGGTGAGATTGGCTACGGATTTCGGCAACGAAGAAGAGAACGCATTGCAGCACAAGTTGAGAGAAGTGAGACTTTTGAGCCGTTGGATTTCATCAGAAACAATTCCACTGAGATTCATGTGAGAGATATCAAGCTTCTCAACATATCCCTCACTGTTGCACAAAACTCCGGTCCAGTTACAGTGATTTTCGTTCTTTTCGACCAATCTCCAGCCTTTGAGACTATTCAATGGATCAACAAGACCTGATTTTATTGAAAGCAAAGCAGATACTTCATCATCATTAGCCACAGAAGCTTGAACGTGAGAAGAGAAATCAATGAAACAGTAGAAGAAGAAGAAGAAGAATAACAACAACAACTGAGTTTTCAGTTGCATATTGGTCTTCTTGGATTTTCTCTCAGATATTTACACTTCTTTTTCCACCATTTCCAGTTTGTCTAAGAATTGTGAAGTGTTTTGTTTTGTTTGTATGAGGAGATAATGGGGAGAAAAAGAAGACGACCAAGTTCACGAATATGTGACGGTGTTATAATAAACAAGAATTAGTTAATGGGGTTATTAATAAAATGGTGGGATTAGTTGTAACATTTTTGGGGCTCGTGAGGTCTTGGGTACTGCAACAGCTGTTAATCTGCGAGTAATGACGGGGAGGCTTTGGACTTATTGGAAGTTTCTCCGACATTGAACATGGCAAAGAATGTGTTCTTACTCACTCAATGTATGTTTTTTTTTTTTTTTTTTTTTTTTTTTTTTTTTTTTTGGTCCACTTGTGGACCCCCATTTTTTTTTTTTTTTTTTTTTTTTTTTTTTTTTTTTTTTTCATGGTCAACTTGAGTAGCTCAATTATTTTTCATCTCTCTCTCCCTCACTCATTCCTACAAAACACTTTGTCTTAACTGTAATGCAAATATGTAATGCTTTACAGTTACCAAGGTTTTTATTTTTTTAATGCCTCTCCTCTAATTACATCTGTCAAAAAAACGTTACTCACAAGGACTTTTATCTTGTTCTTATGCTGTCTTTGATTATTATGACCTTAAGAGAAAAAAGTTGTTATCCCGATAAAAAGGATCATATATATTACTCAAATTAAGACTAAAAAAATGAAAAAAAAAAAATTGCCATAGATTTCTATAGGTTCATGCTTCCCAAGACAGATATTTAAGTCTAAGATATTTGTTAGGGTCACTCACTTTTTCTGTCACTATCTTAATTGTTTTCTGTATTTACTATTTAAAATATAGACTCTACTAATATAATATATTATTATTTAAATAAAAAATAATATAATAGAGTCTGCATGTTAAATAATGAATATAAAAGGTCACAAAAAGAATGACAGAAAGAATGACATTAGTGTTTCTCTGAAGTCTAGAACAAGTGATTTTACTTGTTAGTTTTGGTGAGAGTCTAAAGGGAGATCTGCAAGATAGGGCAAAGTAAGTTGTGCGGTTATGTCTTGCCATTAGAAAAGCTGTTGGGACACATCAGAAAGTGTCTTTTAAGGGAAAGAAGATAAAGAAAAAAAAGAATAAAGAAGAATACCTAACTTCCCAATCACTCAATCTAGAGTTATACATATAGAATAGATATTTGTAAAAATCTTCTTTGTACGCCCCGGCAAAGCGTGTGGAAAGTGGAATCTAAAGTTGTAGTAATGATTCAGGTTTCATCCTGTTAAAACTTTCCTCGTTGGTAAAGACGTCTAGAGGGTTAACTTCTAAGTATGACAAAGATTCAGAAAAAAAAAAAAAAAATTATGCATAAAGTGGACCCCATAGTCACATATAGTATATGCATTAGTTGAACTCTAAAATCAAACCCATATGAGACGGGAACAAATTATTAGTGAGTTTATATATATATTTTAATTAAATTCACAATGTGTCTGGATATGTTAAAAGCACAACCAGGTCATACCCACTATCTAGTTATAAGCTGATTTAGCCTAGACAACACAAAATGCACTATTTAGTCACTTGTTATGGTTGATTTATAGGAAAGAATCTTTCTATGTTATGTGGTGAAAACACTTAAACAAAGACAAAACACATTCTATCTAACAACATTTTGATATGGGGCAATACCAAAAGGTATGGCCTTGCCTTTGAAATTTCAGGGAAAAGGAGAATATTATAATATTGATCAATATATAGTCCTTAGAAGACAAAATATGCATCCTTAAATTAGGTATTGTTTATAGCAAAGAGACACAACAATTATGTAAGGAATAGTTTTGCAGTTGCAAATATGTGGAAGAATTTGTCCTTTCAACGAGAGTATAAGCCAAAAAATACAAATTGGGGTTTGCACAAAATGAGCACAAAAGAATTAAAAACTATTATATGAAAGAGGAATTTCACCAAACAAGAGGAAAAGGGAGAAGTGATGGCACATTACCAATCACGGTCAGAGTCCCACCAACCGCCATCTCTCTTACAAGATTTTTTTTTTTTTTTTTTTTTTTATAAATATTTTTAACCGAATGGCTATTGTTAAAACTTAAGCTGCCAAATTTCACATGCATACATGTGGAGTGACGTATTTAAAATAGTGAAATAGTGCACTTTTATAGTTTACAATGGTACAATTGTGCAATTAGAACAGATGGAAGCCATGTGAAACAGCAGCTTCCTAAGGAAGTCCCTCCTTAGCTATTATTGGAGAGAGAACATTTTGATATTTATTTATTTATTTTTTCCTTATAGTATGGATTTATATTACATATATTGTATGCCATCGAAATCCCGTTTTGGGAATCAATGGGATTAGGGGGATGAAGGCTTAACGTGCCTTTCACATGGCTTTATGCAAAGGCACTATAAGACCACCCTTTCATGATTGCATAAATGAGAGGATCATAGTTTTGGTCTTTGCACGTGTGGCACATGCAAGGGCTGTGGAACCCACAATTTTCTGGGACCCACTTTGGTATACAAATTATTAACTAATCTGATTGGAACTTTCTCTGCACTATGCTTAATCAGATCTGCTAACTAAACTAATTTATGTAATTGTTTATTAACGAGTTTTTTCCTTAACATATAAGTAGAAAATTTGCATAAAACACTCAAGGGAAGTAACAAAGATCACATTTATCTGACGATTCATTCCAAGTTCTGTTCGAATAAACTTTAATTTCCAAAAGGGAGAAAGAAATCAGAGTTCTTTCAGTGATTTTTTATTTTATTTTTTTTAGTGGATGTCCATTGTTTCTAATAAGCATGTTCTAGTTCCACTAACTCAATCAAGTGTAAAAATCATAATGGGGAAAAAAAAAAAGAATTAACAGTAGTTCAATGGTTGTAACTATTAACTGAGTTGGTCAAAATAAAGTTTGAGAATTGACATTACTCATGTAAAGACTTCGACGCAGTTGAAGAGTAGGTTTGTAGTAAACTAGAATCTCACGTCGGTCCAAATAAAAGGTGTTTTTTTCTTTCGAGAAAATTTTTTGGGGAGAACACGTAAAAGATGACTAAACGACTATGAAAAAGAGGAGACGAAACGCAATCAACATACTAAACGATGACTTACAACTATGAAAAAGAGGAGACGAAACGCAATCAACATACTAAACGACTTTATTTTGACCAACTTAACTACAAAATAGGAGGACAACAAAAAACGACAGTATACCAACTTAACTACAAAATAGGAGGACAACAAAAAACGACAGTATACTCAAAAAACGACATCAAAATATAATCGGTATCTGAAAAACGACATCCAAACAAAACGACAGTATCCGGTACAAACGACATCACCAATTTATTTATTTTTTTGAGGAATCATTTTCCGTTGGAAACGTACAAACCAAGTCTGAAAAATTAACTTGCTCCCTAGGATAGAGCAAAAAACAAGTTTATGTTCCAACGTACAGATTCAAAATTTAGAAGAATGAACCGGTATAAAAGGATGGAAGAAAAAACACCTAAAGCCACAGAAATTGATGATCCAAAGAAATCAACAAGGCAACAGTTTCTTTCTGCCCCCGTTGTTAGTGTACAAAAAACTCTATTTACGTACTGAAATAGGTTTCCTATCTGGATTGTTCTGAGAGTAAGAGTTTAAAAAAAAAAAAAAAAAAAGAGTAAGAAAGTTTCTTATTAAAAGCTTACAACCCCAAAATGAAAGCTTCAATCTCAGGCCAAGTAGAGACCGTATAAAGATTGCCAGAGAATGCTCCCCAGTTATGAGTACATCCCATCATAACCCTTTTCCTCCTCAGTACTGATTTAACCAATTTCTGCTTCTGTATCAAGAAATGGAGCAGTGGGACAAACTTGACCCCAAAATGGTCTCCCAGTTTCCTCAGGCTCGGACACGAACCGATCACGATGCCTATATCCGCTTCAAGCAGGCAGCGAAAGTCTCCCACATCTCCTCCAATGTAAACAGTCAAGTGCTTCCAATCGTTTGCAATTTGGGAGTATTTTAGTGTCTTGCTTTTCTTCCTGCTGCCCTCTAGGACTTCCTTACAGTAACCGCGCTTGTCCTGTATCACCTCCCTTATAGCGACACCCGGCGAGACAGATCTGTTGTAAGCTAATTCTTTTGAATGTACATTCAACACATTTGAACCTGTTTTCAGATGAAGATATACAGAAATGGAACTTGTAATTAGAACTTTTTACCACCACAAAGAAAAAAAGAGTACATTTGTAGTAACATAAATAAGTCCTCTTAACATTTTGGGATGTTGGTAACCAAAACAAAGACGCCTCATAGGATACAAAATATCATGAATCCAAAGGTTTCCATTTTCGAAGTCTTAGCTATCATGCTCTTTTTTTTTTTTTTTTTCTTTCTCAAAAAAATAGCTTAATGGCTAAAAGCAAACCTGAAGCCAAGGCTAATGTGATCTGATCTCTACTCCAACGGTAAGAAACTAGGTGAATGTCTGTGTACTTGGTTAGATATCCGCTTTCCGGAATCTTGTGAAAGAACCTTCTGCAGCCATTCTGAAGAGGGATAATCGGTTCACCACCAAATTCTAGGCTTTCTAGAGTTAAACCTTCAAAGTACACTTCCCATGGTGCCACACTTGCATCAACTGCATTTTTCTTTGCACGATCTTTCTTAAAGCCAAAGACTTTTTTAAACCCTTTAGACGGTACCGCTCTTGCATTTGCTTGTTCCTTTGTATCTTCCCCAGTGCCCAAGGCGGCACGCAGACGTGGATAATCAAATGCTTTTGCTGCATAGAAATTAAATTTAGTCTAAAGTTCAAACAATTCTTCAAAACAACAAAACAAAAGCATTATAAAACAAAGCCTGCTGAATATTCATATCGGACCTGATGTTTGCTGAGCTGGTTGAGATGGAGTGAACTGTCCCTGAAGTGCGGCACATGTCGTGTCAAAGGCGCAAAATATGGTAAGCATACGCTTGCTCCCGCCATGCACGTAAATCAATGGGGATATGGATCGCTGAGGGCGGTACAACTCTGCGGCAAAACATTCCACTTGGAGCTTCATTGCTTGGTGATAGACCGTTTCTAGCTGTGCCATCTCATATCCAGTCAAAGAAGCACTGAACTTGTCCAGCAGAGCTTCATTCCGCAAAACCAAACCCTGATTTCGCAAATAAATAATCAGTTATCATTAAGAAATGTTCTGTTTTTCACAACAAACAAAAGATTTAAAAACGTAAAGGAACAAATTGAACTAATTTTCATTCTAAAACTGACCTTGAAATCTTGAGAAGTATAATTTTCAACCCATCTTTTGCAAAAGTCATGGTTGTTATAGGCAGGAGATAAATTGTTCCCTATCATATAATACACACGGCCATAAACCCTCATGGAAACAACAATAGCAGCAAGCGCGTAAACCGGAATTTTCGACCTCTCAATTTGAGTATTTCCTTCGATTTCCCCAGAAGCTGCTGAGTTCAGAAAGTTTGCGTATTTGACTGTTGTTGGATCAGGAATTTTCTTCTTCTTTTCTGGAAGGTCATAGCCCCAGTCCTGCGAAGTTCATTTATTCAATGTAAAGAAGCAGAGAAGTGATTCAAACGCTTTATGAATCCTAGTAGATTACTATCTTAATTAAGTCTTGAAAGAAAAATTGTTAAGCATTTATAACTGGGACACAATTTTTCCAAAGATGCAAAATGTTACACAAGATGGAAATAAAAAAAATGATTAGAAAAGGATTAGTAAACTTAAAACGAGGTTGCATATTTTTAATGGGAAAAATTTATGGACTACAAAAGCTTTCCTCCAATATTTTAATTCAGTCTTAATCCAGGATTGATTCAAAAGCTTTGACTAATACTATCTTAATTAAGTGTTATGAGAAAAATTGACACGGTTTTTCCAAAGATTTACTTATAAAAGTAGACCCAATATCTCTGTTTATTGAGTTTTGGAAGACTAGTAATAAGCTAAATAAAAGTTTCCTTTAAAAGAAGGCAAAACAAAAAAAAAAAAAAAGAAAGAAAAGAAAAGGATTAAAAAAGAATTAGTCAACTTAAAAGAAGTTTCATGTTTTCTAATGGGAAAAAATGTATGGACGAGTGAGAAAAGATTTCCTCCTGTTTTCTTGGAAGCCAAACGACAATCTTTTGTACACATATGCCGATCAAACTGAACAAAGAAAAGAAAATTCATTCTCCCTCCAAAAAAAGGAGAAAAAACATAGAAAACGAGCAGAGAGAAAAGAAAGAAATATATAAAATCAGAATAAATTGAATAAATCTCAACAGAATATGAACACGGAGAGAGAGAGAGAGAGAGAGAGAGAGAGAGAGAGAGAGAGAGAGAGAGAGAGAGAGAGAGGGAGAGAGGGAGCGAAGAGAGAGAGAGAAGATGAGCGTACTCGGAGAAGTTTGTCTAGCGCAAACATCTTCTCCATGACCCTAGTCTGCAAAAATCTCATCGCCGCCTTATCGTCTCCGCCGACCGCGCAGCCCTCGGCCTTTTTGTACCTGAAAAACCCCGCAAAAATGCAAACAACTTCAATCGAACGGCCACAGAATTTGTGAGCCCAACGCAAGAAACGTAAAAAACGACAATTAGGCACGACGTACGCTTCAACGTAGGCTTCGAGAATGTGGCGGTTCTGCGAGATGTAATGGCGGAGACTCTTGGTGTCCATCTTGCCGGCAGCGAAGCACAGCGCGAAGGGCGAGTACAGAGCGAATAGCATTTCTTCCCAAAACTGGGATAGACACCGGTTCGCCGTTGATTCAGCCATGGCCGCGAGAAAAGTCGGAGGGGAAAGATTGTTCAAGACTGAGGTTCTTGCTCAAAGGTTTGAGCTTTGAACTGAGAGAGAGAGAGAGAGAGAGAGAGAGAGAGAGAGAGAGAGAGAGAGAGAGAGAGAGAGAGAGAGAGAGAGAGAGAGGGATTGTAGTTTACGTGATTATGTTCGTTTGATTGGAGTCATAAACGCTTTATATTTTGCGGGAAAAATGAATAGAAGGTCTTCTGAACAGAAATGTGGGAAACCGGCCGTTAGATTTGAAAGAGGGACCATAAACGACATCAAAAAGAAAACGACAGGAAATGCAAAAGCGGCAAACGTTTTGATCAATAAACGTCAGTATGGTTCCGCAACAATTAAGCCAAAATAAAACGCTAAAACACGAATATTTCCTAAAGAAACATAAACTTGGTGAAAAACGACAACACACATAAATGAGCGATAATATTTACAGACCATAACATTTAGGAAAGTCGACAAAAAATCTAGTGGCAATGATATAAATAATCAACGCAGAACCCCAAAACGATAACAAAAACAAATAAACTACAGTATTATCGACAAACAACATTTAACTCAATAGACTACATGATTTAGAGTGAACATATAGAAAAAAAATGAGAATTTACTCTTAAGAGTGTATGAATCTGGACTTCTACTCTTTATTTTTGATAAATATTCTTTTATTAGTGTAATTATTTGACTAAAAAGATTATAAATCTAGAGTAAAGAGTAAAAATCATGACTCATGTACTTTCAAGAAGTATTTGTCAAAATTACCTGAAAATATACAACGCACAATTAGAATAATAAACGACACTATTCTAAGAAACACTGTTAAACATACATACGACGATGAACCAAAATGTACACCATTAGAAGAGACGGCAATAATATAAGAAAACGACATGGTATATTAAACGACAGCAAACTTGAAAACGACAGTCAAAGAAAAAAACTAATAAACAACACAAAATCCACAAAAGACATCAATAATGAAGAATATTAAACTAAAAAACGATCTAAAAAACGTAATTTAACAATCCAGATAAAATCAATTGATGACAGATAAATCAGTAAGCGACATTATTTGCATAATTACAAGAATGAACAATTTAATAAATGAAAAAAAACACATCATTTGCAAAATGACAACTACGTCAATAAACGACAACAATATTAAGAAAAACTGCCTATCAAGCACGTAATTTAACAATCCAGATAAAATCAATTGATGACAAATAAATCAGTAAGCGACATTATTTGCACAATCGCAAGTATGAACATTATAATGAATGAAAAAAGACATCATTTGCAAAATGAGAACTACGTCAATAAACGGCAACAATATTAAGAAAAACTGCCTATCAAGCTCATTGTTTCCTAAATCAGTTATAAACTGTTTTGGTATAAGTGATGAAGAGCTTTTGAGCGGGAGAAATAGGTAGAAAGAACTTGAAAAGGAACATGAACTTTTTTTTATCAGGTTTCTTAAGAGTTAAGATGTGATTATTAATGGAAAGTCATGCCGTCCGTGTTATTTTATTGTTGTATTTCAACAACGTGTAGTTTCTTTTAAACGACACTTTTCTACGAAAGTCGACATGCCATTTCATTATCAATAAAAATGACAGGAGATGCAAAAGAGTTTGTATTTTTGTCCTTAGTCCTTATATAACGAGTTGCTAAAACCTCAGCAGTCGTATTCAGATTACCTTTCGCCTTTGTCCTTTTGTCTTCTCTTTAAAACATTATTTTTGTTGAAAACTTTACTTAGTCTGTTATATTAAACAAAAAAATAATGTATGGTTCAAATGTTACTCGCAACTAAAATTCAAAAGAGCGCAATGCTGAAAGATGAAACAAAAACATCTAAAACTAAATTGATGAAGAAACAAATAAGCAAGGCATCTCCCAAGGTTGAAATAGGAAAACATATCGTTTTATAACATGAATCTTCACTTCATTTCCTGGCACACCCGAAAGAAGAAAAAAAATTACAAGGCGCTAACTTGAGTATCTGAATGTTGATATACAAAGGAATATATATATATATATATATATATTTTTTTTTGGCTGAGCGTTACATTAGTATACTCTATAACATGACCTAGTAAGATGAATAAAAACATAGAGTTTATCTACAACCCCAGAATGAATGCTTCAATTTCAGCCCAACAAGAGACTGTGTAGAAATTGCCAGAGTATGGTTTCCACTTTTGGTAGTTGCCCTTATTAAGCTCCTTCTGCCTCTTTACCAATTCAGTGAAAAGTGGGACAAATTTGATCCCGAAATGATTTGCCAGTATCTCTAGGTATTGAGTTGGACAAATCACAATGCCTATATCTGCTGCAAGCAAGCAAAGTAAGTCGCATACATCTCCTCCAATGCAAACTGTCAAGTGCTCAGTTTCGGTTTTGTGGCGCTTTAGGACTTCAAAGAAGCAGCTTACCTTGTCAAATGAAGTCTCCACCATTCTAACAACATCTCCCGACGTCCAATCGTACTCAAAAGGTAATTCATTTGAACATACATGTCTAGATGTTTCCAAAAGCGTACCTCCGAAAACTGATCTGATCAGGTGACCACACCAACAGAGAGAAATCATATAAATACCAATGTCTGGACTTTCTTTTTCCGTAATCTTCTGAAAAAACCTTCTGCAACCATCCCGAAGTATGACAGTGGAGGCAGCACTCTCTATTTCCTCTCCACTTAAACCCCGCAACAATCGCCACTCCACCACCTCTTCAATTACGTGCTTCTCGTACTCGGCAACTTGCGGAAAAACACTCCAAAGACGTCCACAGTCGAATTTTTGCTGTCCTGCAGAAGTTAAATCCAAAGTATATTATAATATGCATTGATGTTGATCTTTTTGAATCTACATTTAAAAAGGGCTAAAAGTAAACATAAATAGAAAACAAAGCGTACTGATTATATATTCGACTGACCTGGTTCAGTAATGGACTTGATTTTTTTTAAGCATTGTTCAAATTCCTCATTGAAGTTGTTGGCTAAACAATCCCATGCTCCCTTCAACACTGCTGATGACCTCCCGCGAACCCTGCCTATTGTTATTGACAGATTCGCCAGGGTGATGGCGGAGGTGGACCCATCAATGGTGCATGTCCTGTCATACTCACAAAATATTGTGAGTTTACTGTTTCTGAGGCCCTGCAGCCGAGACAAAGACACTAAGGTTTGCTTATACGTCGGGAGTTTAGCGAAGAACTCTACATGAAGCTTCACAGCTCGGAAATATAGCCTCTCCATTACTTCAATCTCATCTCGGGTAAAACGATTACTCAATTTCTCTAGCACGTCTTCAGTTTGCGTAACTAATACCTAAGAATAACAGGACACAAGCAATGAGGAAGGATATTTTACAACAAATAAGCATACATAGTTAAAAAAAAAAAAAAAAGTGACAGACCTCAAAATCTTGAGAAGAATAATGGTCAATCAATTTCTTGTAGGGGTGAATGGTATCAGAAGGATCTAGAATGTCCTTTATCTTCCGAAGCAAGTGGTAATACAGCCTCATACAAGGGATAATGGCACAAAGTGTATGAGCAGCAATCATTCTCTTCCACGTAACTTGTATCAATTCAGCTTTCCCGGATATTGTATCAAGCAAAAAGTCTGTATACTTGATTATTGTCACACAAGAAGTGTGCTGTTTTGGCAAGTTAGAACCCAATTCCTGCATATGATTTATTGATCATCCAAGTTATAAAGTGAAGTTTAAAAAGCAGATTTTTCATTCAGAAAAGTAAACTGACCTTTTACCAAATCCTAGTAGTACTAAATACTACATAAGAGCACTAAAAAAAGGTTTTTGATAAAAAGATTTTATACAAACAAAAAGGGAAAAAGGAAAACAAAGAGAAAAAGAACTAAGAAGATCTTCAAGAAAATTTCCTCTGTTTTTTAGTTCAGTTTCTTGGAACCCAAACAACTAACCATTGATATATCACAATACAAGTTGGTTTATGCGTGTGTACTCATGCACAAATCAAATTGATAAAGAAACAGAGAAAGAAACACGTAGAATTATAAAAAAGACAAAAGGAAACTTAAGGAAATGAAGGAAAGAGTGAGAAAAGGTAAACCTACTTGGACAATTTCTTGGACAATTTTTTGACGCTCATTAATTTTCTTTAGTAGAGACTCCCTCAAGTGGCATATGATCATCTTCTCGCCGGCATTGTATAAGCAGTTCTCCGCCGCGGATGCATAGCTGAAAAAATCCACCGCAAAATACAATTAATACCTTTAATCATGTCTACACCAGTTTGACTAAAGATTGAGGTATAGTAATTAGTCACATACGCATCCTTGAAGGTTTCCCAAATATGGAGGTCTTGTGAGATGAAATAGGAAAAGGCCTGGGGAGCCAAAGTGCCAGCAGTCAAGCTGATGAAGAAAGACGAGTACTGAGCGAATGGCGATTCACTTTCGAACCTTCTCCACCACCTTCTTGGTATTTTTTCTTCCCTCATCGCTGCTGCTCTTAGCCTCTCCATCGTTTTCGACGAGCCTCTTTTCAATCTTTCCTTTTCTTTATGTGAATAATGTAAAGCAATGGAGACAAGAAAATCAAAGGTTTGGACCGTATATAGCAAATTGAGAGAGAGAGAGAGATGACGAATTGTTGTTAAAGTTCGTTTGATTGGAGTCACAAAGGCTTTAGATTTTGCGGGAGAAATATATAGAGAGAGGACTACCGAAAAGAAAGAAGGAAACTGGCGGTTAAATTTAAAAGAGGGACCATAAACAACATAAACAAGAAAACGCCAAGAAATGTAAAATCGACAAACGTTTTGATTAATAAACGTCACTCAAGTTCAGCAAAAATAAAGCCAAAATAAAACACGAATATTGCCTAAAGAAACATAATCTTGAAGGAAAACCACAACACACATAAATGAGCGACAAAATGTACAAACCATATCACTAGGAAAGTTGATAAATATCTAATGAGAATGATATAAATAAGCAACATAGACCCAGAAACAATAACGAAAACAACTTAACTGCAGTAAGTATCAATAAACAACACGCAACTCATTAAACGACATTGTTTAGATCAGTCAAAATATATAAAGGACAGTTAGAACAACAAAAGACATAATTCTAGGAAACACTATCGAACATAAATACCACTATGAACCAAAATGCACATCATTCATTAGAAGAGACGGCAATAATATAAGGAAACGACATCGTCTATTAAACGAATGCAAACTTGAAAACGATAATCAAAGGAAAAATTAACGAGAAAAAAAACTAATAAACGACATTATAATCCACAAAGGATAGTAATAATAAAGTATATTACACTCAACAAAGGATCTAAAAAGCATAATTTGAAAAATCAGATCAAATTAATTAACGACAAATAAATCAGCAAACAACATCATTTGCACAATTACAAGTATGAACATGATAATAAATGAAAAAAAGAAATAAATTGCAAAATGACAATTAAGTCAATAAACGAAAACAATATGAACAACAATACCTGCTGATCAAGCACACTGTTTCCTAGTACGGTAGTACAAAAAGAAAAAAGTATACGATTCCTAAATCGTATATAAATTGTTTCAATATGAGTGATGAAGACCTTTTGAGAGGGAGAAATGGGTAGAAAGAACTTGAAAAGGCACATAATAATTTTTTATCTGGTTTCTTAAGAGTTAAGATTTGATTAGAAACGAGTTGTATTTTGTCCTTGGTCCTTTATAGAACCTTAACAGTAGTATTCATATTATATTTCGCCTTTGTTTCTTGTCTTATCCTTAAGAACATTATTTGTGGTTGAAAATTTAACGTCGTTTCTAATATTAAACCCAAGAAAAAAAAAAATGCAATAGTTTCAAATGTTCGCAACTAGTTCAGAAGAGTGAAATGGTGAAAATGAAACAAAAACACCTAAATCACGAAACATCTAAAGAAACAAATAAGTAACGCTCAATAGGTTGAAATACGAATGGATATTGTTTTAAAACATGAATTTTGCATACATAGCAACACACTTTTTTTTTTCCTTGGCTGTCCCTAAAGAAGAAGAAAATTTATATAACATCTGTACCAGAATGTTGTTGGTATATATACAAAAGAATATATGTATGTTCTTTTTATTTTTATTTTTTTTTTCTGGCAGTCCCCAAGGAAGAAAAGAATAAGGGCTGACCTGTGACTCTCAACCAAAATTAGCCACCATTACATTAGTATACTCTATTACATGACCTAGTAAGATGAATAAAAACATAAAGTTTGTTTACAACTGCGGAATAAATGCTTCAATTTCAGCCCTACAAGAGACCGAGTACAGAATGCCAGTGTGTGGTTTCCAATTGTGGTAGAAGCCTGCAGCAAGCTCCTTCTGCCTCCTTACCAAGTCAGGGAAAAGTGGTTTGAATTTGAGACCAAAACTATCTGCCAGCTCCAATAGGTTGTTTGGACTATATCTGCTTCAAGAAAGCAATGTAAATCACTAACATCTACTCCAATGCAAACTGTCAAGTTCTCGATTTTAATTCCGTGGCCCTTTAGGACTGCACGGAAAGTTTTTAACTTGTTGGATGGAGTTTCCACGATCCTCGTAATATCTCCCGTCGTCAAACCGTTCTCATAAGCTAATTCATTTGAATGTATATTGCAGGATTTTATCCCTGCTCAGATGAAGATAGAATGGAGCTTTTTGATCCTTACAAAGAAAACCAAAAAAGTAAAAAATCTTTTTTTAAAAAAAAAAAAAAAAAGGGGAAAATGCATTTGTTTGACATATATCAACTATTTTGTGCAAGAGTGCTGGAACATATCTACCAATTTCAAGGAAAAAAAAAAAGAAACTTAAGATATAAGTCTTCTAAAAGTTTATAATTAATTAGAAACCGAAACAAATCTATACTCCTTATAGTGCTTAATTACAGGTGTATAGATGTTTCCAAAAGCATACCTGGAGATAAAACTTCTTTGATCAGTTCACTACACCAACAGTAAGAAATTATATGAACACTAATGTTTGGACTTTCATTTTCCGCAAGCTTCTGAAAAAAACCTTCTGCAACCATCCCGGAGAATGACAGTGGAGGCAGCACTCTTTATGTCCTCTTTAGTTAAATCCTTCAACAATCCCGACTTCACCACCATTTCAATTGCCCTCTTCTCACTTTCCGCAACTTGCTCAAGGTGTCTCCAGCAAACTGTGTTTTTGAATACTTGTCCTGCAGAAGTTAAATTCAAAGTATATTTTAATAGGCAATGATGCCGATCTGTTTCGATCTACATTTAAAAGGGCTAAAGTTTACAAATAGAAAACAAAGCATACTGATCATATATTCGTCGGACCTGGCTCAGTACTGGACATGATTGTTTTGAAGCATTCTTCAAAATCCTTGGCGCACAGGTTGACTAAGTCATGCCACGCGTTCCTCTTTTCTTATGATGACATCCCAGGAACTACGCCTAATCTTATTGACAGCTTCGCCAGGGTGGTGGGGAAGGTGGACTCAGCAGTGGTGCATGTCATGTCATAGTCACCAAATATTGTGAGTTTACTCTTTCTGAGGTGCTGCAGCATGGATTAGAACAATAAGAGTTATTCTTTAATTAAAATCTACTGATACTCATTTGTTAGTTGTAGCTGTATAACCAGGATAGGGATCCAAATGAGGAAGATGCACAACCAGAAGAAGTCCAAATAAAACCTACACCAATGCATCAGTGATAAAGTGGCGGAAATTAACATTTTTTTTAGCCCAATAAAAGATAAATCTCAAGCCAATTTCTCAAACAATGAAAGTAGACTGTCTTTTTCGCCTCATATTTCACAATATGTTCTTTATATTGCATGCATTTGGACTGGATGGCACACTGCCGATGAAACACATAGCTAACAGCATCACCCTTTCAGTTACAGCCAGGCTTGCCCAGCTGGTGTAGGAGCAGACCAATATAGCTAATGTGGATGAACCATAATGCAATTGGTGAAAATGAATAATAATCATTGAAATAAAGGATGGAAAGAAACAGAACCAACATACCTGGATGGCGACTTCACTGATGTATAAATACAAAACAGATCTGCAAGGACAAGCCACAAACATTGTCAGCTTCTTTAAATAATGAATACTAATTTGAAATATACGGCATGACTTTCATATTCTAGAAAGCGTTGATTCTCACGCACTGCTTATGTTGAATAAAACTTCAAGTTAAGAATTATCAATCATATCAAAGACATATAACTCTTTTTTTTATAAGAAAAACTCACTTTTTTTTTTTTTGAATTCAAATGACATATTATTCTACTATTAAGACTCACTTTTTGTGGTAAATAATTCATTTTCTTATTTACGTCATCATGTCATGACGACAATGGATATTTAAGTTTAGTCAAAATAGATGAAAAGGAAGCAAACAATCTGCCAGAAGTATAGAACCATTTAAATATACATCCTTAATAATTTTTAGAAGGGGTGATTGATTTGAGATTTATATATATAAAACCCAGAAAGTTGTACAAAACATTATGTATATTAAAATCAAAGTAACATATACCTACTATAAAAATCCCTCACTGAAAGAATGAGATTGAGCATCACAGCATCTCCCACCAAAGCATAAATGACTCCAAATCTGACAAACCACCGAAATTCACGGATGTAAACTTTGGTCTCCACACCAATCATGGCCAGCATAGAACACCAAGCAAGTGTCTCAATCGTCAGAGATATCGCCTGTGGGAAAGGAAGGATGAAGCTAAATATATGGAAATGAATTCAAGATTACTGGAACAAGAAAAAGATGCTCACATGGACTAAGTGCTCCTCATTCAAAGATCTTCAAAGATAAATATTTAAATTATATGGACCCAATTAAATTGACATTTACAATAGGTGCTGCCTCAATATTCACAGAGCTAACCAAAATGGTATTCAGTTCACGGACATATTGTAGGAAGTCTGTGGCAAGCTAGGTTTAGGAATTGGGTTTGTTTGCCATCAATTGGCAGGTCGGCGGGGGGGTATTTTAATAATGTGGGATGTTAGAACCATTCAAGTTGTTGACACCTTCATTGGGTCATTTAAGGTGCCAATAAAATTTCAAAAAAGGGGATTCTTTTTAGTGGTTAACAGGGGTATATGGACCAGTGTCATATAAAGACAGAAAATTTTTAAATTTTTTGGGATGATTTGACGAGGCTGCAGGTGATTTGTGGTGAGAAATGGGTGCTGGGAGGTGATTTTAATGTGGTTAGATTTACTCATGAAAGATCTCACCCTCCCAGGTCTACTAGAACATTAGATTGTTCGACAGACTTATTCAGGAAGGAAATCTGAAAGATATTGTGTTATCTAATGCTCACTTCACATGGAGTAATTTTAGAGAGGCAGAAGTGAAAAGTAGATTGGATAGATTTTTATTCACGTCGGAATGGGAAGAGGAGTTTCTGGGTGTGAAGCAATTGGTTAGGAGCAGATCGGTCTCGGATCACAGTCCTGTGATATTAGACACT